TGGAGGATAGTAACACACAATAATACATAATCAGGATTTGACCCTTCTCCAGCAAGATATATATATATATATGAAATAAAGTGCTCATGTACATATCTATATTCGGCTACAGAGCACGTAACATAGAATGAATTTTAAGGCGAAATATTGATAATATACTGAAATAGCAATGATACCCAATAGGTTATTTTTAAATAAGTATTACCGGTACTAAAAAATAAATAAAGTGCTCATATACATATAGATATTTGGATACAGAGCAAGTATCACAGAATAAAATTTAGGCAAAACTGATAAATACTAGATGATACTTTTAAATGAAGTATTACTAAAAAATAAATATGTGGTCATGTACATAGATATTTGGATACAGAGAAAGTGTCATAGAATGGAATTTAGGGCGAAATATGGATGCAAGTATGATAAACAATTTGATATTTTTATAAAAAGTGTTACTAAAAAATAAAATAATAGATTATGGAGTTCCAGCAAGTGTGCTCATACCAAATAAAAGATAGCAATTCATTTACCACAGTGAATTAAATTCATTACACATTACTACTTGCTATAACACAGCGGGCACATGATACTCATCGTGTTTTAAACTTTTTAAAGGTTTTGCTCGCTCTCCAGAACTCTCCATTTTTATTTGTTTGTATTGTCAGATTGTGGACTTTTCAAAATAAATTATCTCTATCTATATCAATGAATACAATATCCCAGGTCCCCACTTGACTGGTTCATATTCTGTTCTGTAGATAAGTTTTCTGCCTAATAGATGGTATGTATTCCCAATAAGCATTACAGTATGCTCATTCGTTCACTCAATGAGTGATTTTAATTACGGTAAATATAAAATAATATATATAATATAAATAAGTTCATATTCCATTTTGCATCCATGATCCAGTATTTAGTTTGTTCAATTCCAGTAGTAATCCATACCATAATTAGGTTTATTTTAATAAATGCATTGATATAAAACAATAAAAATAAAATTAGTAAATATAAAATACATATCATAAACACATAATTTTCTTTTTAAAATAATGCTTTACATAAATTTTTCAATTCCCTCTCAAATGGGTTGTTTATTCTATAATTCTCTATATTTTTCTACATATTATGGCCAGTTTATCTGCTTTTTGAGAAAGGTAAAAATGTGGTTTTATTTTCGAATATAATAGAATTTCTCATGGACAAAATTTTATATCTCACTATTGATTACAAAAGTATAATTGCATCCAAATCAACAGTATCTATATGACTATATAAAGGATCGTTAAAATTAAATAATAAGCAAGAATTATATTGATAACAAAATGTATTCTAATCAATTTTAATATATCTAAAACAAAATCTTCATAAATATTTTTTGTAAATTTACAATACATGAAAATATGTGAAACAAACTCAGGTTCTCCATTACATAATACACACATTTCATTCCCTGCTATTCTTCCAATTTGTGGCTTTTGTTTTCAATGGCAAGATATCCCAGAGTAATTTATAGTTAAAATCAGTATTTTTATTAAGTAAACGAATAGCTCGCAGAGCCATGTGATTCATATGGAGCACAGAGCTATGATTGAGAGAAGCCGTGGTTCGCCATATATTTAGGTCTTCTTTTCGGCTTTCTTCTTCCCTTGGATAAATATGTAAATCCCATGTTATATCAATTAATAAATACATGAATAACCGCACTCCTCTCGGCGACTGGTTCATATTCTGTTCTGTAGATACGTTTTCTGTCTAATAGATATGCATTCCCAATAAGCATATGCTCATAGTTGTATGGTTTCAGCGTACCATACTTCGAAACACAAAACCAAATATTTATTGAAGAATTAAAGACCTCAATACGGCCAATTTCGCACCCGACTCGGCTGAAGCAAGGGATTTTGGCAGCGAGCAACGCGTTTTCTTAATATGCAACGAACCATTTAGCTGGACGACGTAAAAATGCAGGGAACAACGCCATAATGAGCAAATCTTTGCAAGTTTCCACTCATTGTATATATGCTCATTGGTCCAGTGAACAATTTTTTGGTTGATAAGGCCCAACCTACCTCTAATTTTTGTTCCAGCGGCAGCTGCGAAAACGGAGTGCGAAGTAGTGCATCAACCTTATTCATTATGAGGTCTAAGGCTAAGAAATGCGAAGCCGGAAAGAAGTGAGGAGCTCAAAAGGAATGTGGAAAATCGAAAGCAAATGAACTAAAGGTCTTTAACTGATTCAAATAGCGAAACAATGGACAAAAACGAAGGCGAGGAAACTATCAACTCTTCAAGCAACCAACGAACGAGAAGGAATGCGTGAATATGTCAACACGTTGTTGTAAGGAACGTCGGCATTGGGTCGTCATAATTTTGGGGCTAGCCCCGATCGGCCCCGATGATTTAGTAAAAGAAACAGAAAACAAACGAGACAAACGCGGCGAGTGGAAGATAAAAGAGAGAATACGATATACAATGAGCAACCGGGGCAAAATCGACGTCGCCCCGTTGACGTTCGGCGAAGGCTTTGCGAGCGAAAAATTAACCATGTCGGGAGAATATGGCTAGTGTAGACAGTCTGTGCAACCGATATTGAGGTATTTTTCTAATATTTTTTATTATACCGAAAGAACAACCGGGGCATTGCCCCGGTTGGCCCTATTGACGCGCCGCCACTGTGTACCGGTATGTATGTTTATTTGTCTCAAAAATGTAACAATTTAGCGAATTGTAGCCATGAACTCAAATTTGCATGTGCTTCATTAACTTGATTCATAAGATATTGTTGTTTTCGTTATTTACGGTAGGTATGAGTTTATTTCGAATCCATGATCAGCATAAAACGGACCCCGCAAGTAAAAAAAAAGTCAAATAAGTAATAAAAACTGATTATAGAATCAAGGTAGCAAACTAAACCATAAGTAAAGTTTATAACCTATGCGTGCTACATAATACGTGTGAGCTGGAGGGTTTTTACATAACACAAGTGCTTCGTGTTCAGCCATCCAAAGGTACCGGTATGTGTGCCCTGTACTGAAGCACACACACGGCCACAGAGATATAACAAAGTCCAAAAAAATGAGAAATTACATAGTAAAAATATTCCAGGGTCAAGGGTCGGGGAAACAACCTGTTCCCCTTGTCATAATGGCGCGAGAGTTTCTCTGATGTCCAATGTGGCCAATCTCCAATCTGCCAATGGCTGAAATGAGCCAGGTGTATATCAATAGTTCAAATGCGGTTCTGATCTTTGGCTATTATTAGCATAATATTATTATGATAATATACACCTGTTACCTGTACCGTACAGTGTTACCTTACCGGTACCGGTACGGTACTGTGTTACGATCGGTTTGGGAGAAAATAGAAAGACTGAAAGATAGATACCGCCATACCGGTACTGTGTTGCGATCGGTTTGGGAGAAAATAGAAAGACTGAAAGATAGATACCGCCATACCGGTACCGGTCCCCAGTTCCGGTAATTTATTTTGAAAATTCCACATTAATACAGTAGGCCTACCGGTACAGATTAAAAATAGAGAATTCTAGAGAGCGAGTAAAACTTCCAAGTTTAAAACATGAGAAAGAATACCGGTACCAAAAACAAATAGGGCCTACTTAAATTTATTAAACTGGGCTGTACAGTCCTCCGCTCAGCCGATTACGAGATATCTTGTTGGACAGTTGGATCCATATCATACAATGAACACATTCTGACATTTGTCTCGTGAACGAGAGCACCTGATACCGGTATGACTATAAATCTGACAAATGCATGAAATACCTGAATGTGTTAACTAGATGGTAATACTTGTCACATTACAGCATTAAAACTGTAGCCTAATAACATATAGCTTACCTGTATCAATAAGATCAATCGTGATGTGCATCGGCCATGGCCATTCAGCCATTAGCCTGCCATATCACCAAAATTCATAGTTGCTATTTGGTGGTAATAAAAATCACTACAGCATTACCAGCATTACCGTCTGGCACACTATACAGATCGAGCGACATTGTCTCGTTCCAGAGACACCCATTTTACAGATGATCAGACACCTCTCTTTTGGGAGAGGAAGCAAATTTTTTTCTTCTAATTTTTCCCAATTAGCTTCAATTATTACCTAATGGCCTCTTTAATATCCCAAACATGTTAACACGCTTTTCCCTAACTTAACCAACATACCTGGCAATGATAAAGCAAATCTTGGTGATCGATTTCTTCTTTACTATTGCCTTCACAACATTATTGAGCTGCACAAATCGTCTTAATAATGGATGATGCAGTGCAAGAAAATTACATCCGTCTACGGGCTTCCTAGTTTCATCTTATCACTGTATCACAGTATCATGAATTTCAGAATTTGTTTGAGCAAACGGACGTTTTTTCATTTAAGTTTGGAGATCTATTTGTAGTCATATTTCAGTATTTGTAATTTCATTCCAAGGCAGTTTTAGGTTATCTGTTCCACCAGACACTTTGAGATATATGTCTGTTCCTCATGTTTTCCCATGATCGCACACAACAAGTGCACGAAGAGAAAGAAAAAAGTGTGAAAAGCATGTCATGAAATCCTACAGGAGTGGTGACTCCTCTACGGCCTATGGGCCGGGGCCACGGCCCATCTAATTGGGTCACATGGGCCGTGGCCCATACCTTGATGGGCAGCGGCCCCATCAGGAAAAAATCGATTATCTTAACAAAATTTTCAATTTTTACCAAACTGTCAATATTCGAACCAAAAAAATATACTCCTGTAGTATGTGTACCAGGTTGGGGTTAGGACAAAAAAATTCAGATTTTTTACATTATAGTTCTATTATGAGTTCGGGGACTGTCTGTGTTAGCCAAGTGAATAGTTTCTTTACACAACTTGATGGGACGCGGCCCATAGCCTGATGGGCCGAGGCCCAATTTGATGGGCTGTGGCCCCGGCCCATGGGCCGCAGAGGAGTCACCACTCCCACTCATGAAATCTCCCATGATCGCACACAACAAGTGCACGAAGAGAAAGAAAAAAGTGCGAAAAGCATATGAAATCGAGTGAGCGAGAAAACGTAAAGTTTTGTTAACGTTTCATTATTAAATGAAAGTCTGTAGCAAACTAAAATAGAACTTACACAGACTACTAAAAATAGAACTTACACAGACTACTAACATAACCTAACAAGCCTATTGCACCATACAGATTTCATTAACAACAATTATGTAGTTCACGCAGAATTGGGTAAAGGAAGCAGAAATTTATTTCAGCATCAGGCGGCCAGATTGTATCACCAAACAAGCCGGATTTGGCTCACGGTCCGTAGTTTGCACATGTCAGGCTTAGGGTATTTCAATATACTGATATATTTTTTTTGTTTTCTAATATTTTTGAACACAGGCTGCCTGTTATAGGCTCTCACCTGTTGGCATTTACATTAACGTTATCCAAATTCCATTTTACAGTTTTTTTTAATACGGGTCGAGAGATGGACCTGTCATATGAGGCTGCTTTATATTTAGCTGCACTAATAGCACCTGCTGCTTTATTTTCTCTAAAATATGCCTTCCGCCAATTCACTTCATTGGGAAGTGACAAAGTGGTTGTTATTACGGGGGCGAGTTCTGGTATTGGAAAAGAATGTGCTAAAGAATTTTTTAAAGCTGGTTGTCAAGTGATTTTATGTTCCAGGAATGTAGACAAATTGGAAGAATTAAAAAATGAGTTGATTAATATGAACAATTGTGAAGATAGGCCTGAACCTTGCGTGATTCCTCTAGATATTTCAAATGAACAGAGCATCCAGGATGCTGTTGATTCAATGAATCGTAAATTTCCTGACGGAATTCATATATTAATCAACAATGCTGGGATGTCATATCGTGGTAACATTCTGAGTACTTCCATGGATGTTCACAAAAAGTTGATGGAAACAAATTACTTTGGGCATGTCTCCTTGACAACACGTCTTTTACCTAGTATGATTAAGTTGCCACATAGTTGTGAAAAATACAAAGCTCATATTTTGTCTATAAACAGTATACAAGGACAAATATCAATTCCACATCGATCAGCATACAGTGCATCTAAATTTGCATGCACAGCATTTTTTTCTTGTTTGCGTTCCGAAGTGGCACGTTTTGGAATAAATGTCTGCTCTGTTTATCCTGGATATGTTAAAACAAGTTTGTCTCTAAATGCCATGACTGGGGATGGTACCAATTACGGTAAAATGGATGCCACTACTGAAAGTGGAATGGAGCCTTGTGATATTGCGAAACAAGTTGTAAGCGCGATCCGCAATAATCAAGAAGAAGTTTCAATTGCGACTTTAAAATTAAGACTAGTAGTTTGGCTCCGATATTTGTTTCCTTCTATATTTTTTTGGATCATGAAAAAACGTGCTAATCGATAGATCTTCTTTCTTATATTAGTGTAGCTTTAAATTTCTAAATTTCATTATCAGATCAAATTTTCATTATTTATTTCATATTGAAAATATGAATACCTTTTATTTTTTAGTCGGTCTTTTCTGTTGCTCATATAATGTATTTTGCTCAATTTAAAACAATATATCTTTCGATTTCATGCAATCCAGTCTTCAACCATTTCACTTCTGAATTTTCTTGGTAGAGATACATCCCACTGTAAGATTTCACAGCGATATTTCCAAGATTTTTCCCTCTTCAAGGTTATTAAAATATAGCTTATAAAAATTGACTACCGTAATTATTATAATAATAAATGCGAAAAGTGTAGATCGTGAAGTAAACCTTGGGAATAAACTTGCTAGTGAATGTACTCAGTGATTTTTGATGGGCTTTCATACTTTATGCATAGCCTGATAATACTATAAGACATAAGTTTAATCAGGTTGCTTCATGTGCTGTCTTGTATCCTGTGCTAATTACTTTTAAATTCTTGTTTGAGTTAAATCAATTTGAATGACTTAATTATCGTCATGTAAGGGGAAAATGCAGTGTTTTTGTCCAATTTATAAAATTTGTAAACTGCGTATTATTAAAATTATCTTCATGTCATTTTTTGTTGTATACAAGATTTATTAAGTTTTATTTACTTAAATTTAAACTAGCATACTGTTATGTATGGCGAAAAACTCTTAGTGCGAGTATTTATTTCTATTTGCATTGGACTTTTTTTCCCCGAGACCGGGAGCTCAGGAGGCTGAAGTCCTCAGTCGTAGATATACATGCCGCTAATCCGAAATATATATAGGGGGCAATGTTGATACTTGATTGATTTATTGATTTTACTATCAGATCTGTTTGTTTTCTTTAATGTAAATAGCCTGAATAACCCTAATCACTATCTATTGTGTATAAAATCAACCAAATACTGTTTTATCTGTTTGGATAATAGAATACCACCATAAGGTTGTTACAATACCACCATAAGGTTGTTTTTTTATAGATATATTTTTGACAATACATATCAAGTGTCAAAAAAAAATAGTGCAATAAAGCATTGCGGTATTCATTAATTATTTAATTTGGCTGAAGCATAATATTGATTCACTATACCTTGATTGGCTTTTGATGATGTAAATTCTTATTTTATTAGTTGTATCTAAACTACATTAAATTTAAATTTACCACTACTAATGTCAAGATCAATTGAACAAGTTGAAGCGCTTGTATCAAAAGCAGTGAGATATGCAAAATCTGAAAAAGAAGTAAGTAGTTTACCTTGTTGTATTAGTGCATTACATCTATTTTAGAAGTTGCATTGTAAAAATGTGAGGGAATTGTTTTTTTCTAGATTTTCCTAATTCTTAGGGAACCGACGGAATCAGACAGTGTGTAATTATCATATTGCAATAACACAAATTATGATTGTTCATCAGATATATTGGATCTCCGCATTAGGAGACCCTTATTCTCAATTGTTCTGTCTGTATAGCAGTAGCTGTCTAAACTTCCGGACCCAACCGGGTAAAATTTCTAAAGTGGGTTATGCAGTCACCCTAGTAATATGCTTTTCACCGAAAGTCCGGATTGTTGTTTTATTTCCATGGCATCAGTGAAAAACGTGATAATCATTGAGAAATTACTAGATCTTTCTTAATTTGTCGCCATTATTTCGTAAACTACCTTGAAAATATATTTTAGTGAACGTGATTAATTATACGCCGCAGTATATCGCTGATGAAAAAGATACCAACAAGACGTGCACCACTCAAAATGAATGCATCAACGGTTATCCTGGGTGCCTATCGACTTGTTTCATTTCGATTGGTGTCTGTGAACCGATTATGCTATAGGTGAAATTGTCTGAATTTTGTACATTTACTCAGAGAAGGACCCCAATCACTCAACACTATCATTAATAAGTTGTAAATCATGCTTTTTATTTATCATTTTCCAGCTTTCCATAAAGGGGCTCAATTTTGGTCGATGGTGGAATGAGGTTGGGGAATATGAGAAAGCTTCAAAATGGATAACTAGATATCTTGTTATTTATGACAAGGATGCAAAAGCTCACAAACTACTTGGCGAAATTTATGAAAAATTAGACAGGAGCGATGCCGCTCTAGCTTGTTACAAAAGCTCACTGCGGGTCAAACCACAGCAGGTGTGTATTTTTTTTTGATTTTTGTCTACTTGTTGCTTCAGTTTTAAATGGAACTGTTAATGAAAGTTCCATCAATTCCACCAAGAAAATAATTACAGTAGTTACCGGTAGTTCATAAGTCTACCTCGACCTGAACCCTATATTCAAGCATTGATTCATTATACCATTTGCTTATCTGAATTTAGTTTCAGTGTCTTATCATATCAGAAATTTGATATCAAGCAAGCAACTGTATGGTGGCATGTAATATTAGTAATACAATGATAATTTTCGAAATTTAGTTTCAGCTTGTTCATTTATACAGTCACGTTTTTCCAAAGTTATTGATCAGTGAATTTGGTTGATCACTTTTCCTTGTCCCATACTTGAATCAATACCACGAATAAAACAAACTTTTTTCCTTCATTGCTTATACTTGTTATGCATTTCTGAAATGTATCTGATCATTATTTTTGTTTTAATGAGTTTATTCTTGTTTTCAATAATCAACTAATGACAAAATAGAATACTTCTTGAATGAATTATTGAAAGTTTTTAAATATAAAAAATATCTATCTGTCCCATTGCTGTAAAATAAGTTTTGTGTTTTGAATATTTGATCACTGTTAATAACGATATAATATACCAGTATTTCTAGCAAAAACTGCTAATATACGGTTCCGGATTTTAGCAATATTTTAAGATGCACTGGGACTCCTGATGGATTGGGACTCCAGGGATTGAAAAAAAGAGTGATTATATCATTATCCCTAATCAAAACCAGTGTTCATAACTTGTCACCTGCAAAGGAGCGCAAAGAGGAAAACACTGATATGTTCAATTATGTCATGGACTTCTTTGTTATATTTCAGTACGAGCTGATGTTGAAAGTAGCAGAAATGCACATTAATCCTGGACCAACACAGAATCCAAACCGAGCACAAGTTTGGTTGGATAAAGCGGCAGTTGCTTTACCTAATCATCCACAAGTCTACAAACTAAAGGTATGAACGTTTTAGATAACAGTTACGTTTTCTAGATGTTTTTGTGCGTCAGAAAATGTATCTAATTCAATTGTAAAAAACTGTTTTACAATCATAATGAACGTTAGAATAAATATTTCGGTACACCGCTCAAAAGTTTATCCCCTGTCCTATAAATGATCAAACTAAAATTTGATATATAAAAATGAATAATATTGTTATTTTGTTAAATAATTCACATTTTTCCAATTATCACTTTGGGTAGGTTTATCTCATGTGATATATTGTGAACTACTGCCATTGTTGTAACTTGGCTACACTTATTTCAGTGACTTTCTATTTTAGATGGAACTATATCTTGCACAAGAAGCTCCTTCTTCCAGACTCGAAGAGACTATTCTTCAAGAACTGAAGAAGCGGCCAAATGATCCGTCACTTTATGTTGAATACGTTACTTTTTTGAAGGTGTGTGGCAAAAAATGTTTTCTATGTTTGATGAAGAAATTACTGAACTATTAAATTTGCTTCTCAGAATCAAGAAAGACTAAATGAAGCTTTTGCTTTCGTGGAAAAAATAGAACATGACTATTCAATACCGAAAGTTGTGGAAAAGGATATGGAATGGAACCAATGTCTGGTTGATACATGCAAGGTATGAAGCTAGAAAAATACTGTCGAATGAATTGTTAGGAATTGCACCTGAACAATGTTTGTGGTTTCATTCCTATCTATTCGGCTTATTATTAATGTACTTGTTGGTATTACGGGTAACAAATCTCACTCACTCACGGGCCATGTAAGTGTGACGTAACAAGTTAAATTTTATGAACAATATTAACAGTTTTGCAAAAGTAGAAAACATTAGGCTTGTGCCCAAACTTAAGTTAGTCGTAATCTCAACAAATTCCTTGAGCTATTTTTCCACTTGAACATCAAAATTTGGTTTAGTTTGTCTGTGGCAGCATCAGGCAGGCCAGAATGAATTGGCCGAATTTGGCCTGCGGGCCGTAGTTTACCTGTTTCAGCTGTATATTCTAGACTTCTCAATTTGAATGGAACACAACAGAAATATTCTAGCACAAAGGAATTTCAATTCCCTAGCTTTGTCAAACATCATTTCTATATTCTTGTTCATTAGGATTATGCAGAGCATATGAGTGATGATGATGTTACAGATGAATCTATTAAGGCATATTCTATGTTGTTGATAAGTTTATGTCGCAATGTTTGGTTATGCTTCGAGCAAGAAAAATACAACGAAGCATTGGAATTTCTGGCTTTGTAAGTTATGCATTTTTTATATGCTTTTGAGGATGAAAATTTTTAAACTGCACTTTGTTAAATTATGGCTATACATAATTTTTGTATCAACTTTTTTCCTTTTTCTAATCTGATTTCAATAATTTGTGCAATTCTGTTGAATAGGACCAAATTTAGAATATATTCTATGCTGAAAATTATTTTAATTGTATTGGAAATTCCAAATTATTTGATTTCGAACATTTTGCCTTCTGACTTAAAATCTATTTTATATTTTTCCTTCTTTCTTTCAGGTTGGACAAAAGCTTATTTTCGGTCTCTAACTTGAACCAACAAGAGTCTGACAATGATGACTTAGAATGGGATGCAATTATGAACGAGTCAAAAGGACAACTGTACTGGTTGTCTGCAATTGCTATCATTCATCAAGCTATTGAGGTATTGTTTAACACATATAATTTTAGTATATTTATATTTTACTGGATGTTACTGGTAGACCATTTTCCAAATGAATAAATATATGAGCTGGTAATGTAAATATCTTCATGCAAATCTTACTCATCCAAGAATTTTATTTTAGCACTGTTCAGCATTTCAATTTTATTTGTATTTTGTATCTGTATTACATTCGCTTCGCTATGGACTTGATTCATAGACTTGCGTATAGACTTATAGTATTATGTATCTGTATTACATTCGCATCGCTATGGACTTGATTTATAGACTTGCGTCTAATTTCAATCCGGATCTATACGGCCCTTTGGGCTTCAATGTAAGATGATTTTATTATAGCCTGCGTTGATGTTAATGCTTTGTCTTTGTTATTTAGAGTAATATTCAGTGGAATGATGCCATAAAACTCTCTGCAGCTTGCTATTCTGTCAGTTTATCATTTCCCATTGCCGATATTTCTGCGACATGGGCATCATGGTCAGTATACTTGATAATAGTTCTCTAATAACATAATAATATTGCTGATTGCATTTTCTTCTTGTACAAGTGTTACAAGTATTGTTGCTACTCGCTTACTATTCTGTAGAGGGGAACAATAAGTTCAAAATTATGTCCTTGTTTTGGATTTCTGACCATTCTTCATTGCCAGAATATTTACATCTTATAAATGGTTTGTGTGAGACTAGCTACAAATGTGTACGATGCAAGGATGCTAGATATGTGATTCAAGAGTCTTGCTGCAAACTAACTTATTAAAAGAATTTCTGTAACATAACTTAAGTCTGACAAAGGCCTTCTCATTGAGACAAGACTCTTGAGATAATATTATTTGCTAGTTTTTGCGGCTTTTTATTTAAAATCGCTATACTGGTATTCAATTTCAAAATCTGGCATTTTGGGCACTATGCTTTGCAGTGACCTGTTTTAAAAATGTTTTCTGTTTTAGTCCTAATGCATTTAATTGTCATCTAATTTGAGTAATATTATAATTCACAGGTCAAAAGACAACAGCTTCCCAGGGAAATTAAAAACTATGAGTGGATTCCGGTTAAGTCAGTGTGCCTACATGATGTATAACCTTACTTCTGTGTCACATACTGATTGTACTCGAGAGAACGAAATTAATGAAAGAGAATGGCTGAGAGAAGTTACTGATAATTATTGTACCGAGGAGGTATGTTTTAATATAAATTTATCCAATCTTAAAACCTAGTTGCCTATTGGTTAGCAAAAGTAACACAGTCCTCGTTCTAATAGTAACTTCCCATAAAGTCCACAAGAACGATCACAAAATGAGTTTCATTTTTTAAGGCAGAAATTTTTTTTCTTTGTGTAAGTGCGCTGAGGGTTTCTTCCCCGTTAATTTGACGTCACGTGACCAAAAAGTTTGTGAACCGCTGTTGTTGGAGATGATTATATGTCAGAGGTTCGCTGTACGGAATCTCTTGTCGGTTATGGCTTTCTCCACTACTAAGCCAGTTTATTTGAAATTTATAGTTGTTTATGCCCCATAACTATGCCCAATTGGTGAATATATTACTGAGCGAAGTATACATGTCTCTAATATAGCGCAGGCCACATTAATTTTGCCTATAAACATTCGCAACATTTAAACTTGCTGGTTTGGCTAATCAAGCAAACAGGCTTTGCATAATGCTCAACAACGAAATATATTTTTGTCCAAGTAATTTGTAATGTTGGACCCTTAATTAATACCAACTTTGCTACATACAATTTCATTTCAATGCCAATTTTTGAAATCAAAATAACTAATTATTTAGATACAACTGAAAGTGGGCATGTTCAGCAAGTAAACGACATACAACCTGTATGTGCTTTCGCCTCTGCTGCTTACTACAAAACAATAGATTTATAGCTGCCATTGTTATGATATAAATCTGTTCCTAGAAATTACCTAAAGTTATGAGCATTTTTCAAAATGAGGTCGTTCAGTGAACACAAAAACTGATCTAGGTCATTGTTTGCAGAATGATTAGGCAACTTTATCACTTTTTTCTGTCCATACAAGCGTATATATATGCATCATATATATGCAATCGCAAACGAGTGCAGCATAACAATGGCACAGCTTGCTTTTTCGATAAGTTAATATTATTTTTGATATCACTAGGGCAGAGTCAAAGTCTTCCAATGTCTGTTTGGTCAAAACTCTAATCCAGAAACTTCAATGATTTATTCTGATGAGACATTTCCAGGAATTGCATGTGAGCTCATATCAGAAGATGTGCTTGGAGAATATGATATAAGTATGTGATCTTCTTCTGTATATTAGATGTCAATCATTGTAATCCACAAGGCAGTTTAATCTAGTTTTAAAATAATTAAAGAATTTTTACCCAAGCAGATAACTGTAAAATATTTAGAAAACTTCAGTAGATAACCTTTGATTTTAGGAATACTTTAGAATGTTTTCTTTAAAAAATATCATAGTTCTGGGTAATTGATATATAATTTTCAGACTAACCCAGGCCTATTTAGGTACTTATTATGGTACTCCCATAGTGTGTGTACCAGGTTAGGGTTAGGCCATAATTTTATTCCGATTTTCCTTATCTATTTAGGTACTTATTATGGTACTCCCATAGTGTGTGTACCAGGTTAGGGTTAGGCCATAATTTTATTCCGATTTTCCTTATTTTAGTTCTATTTTACGGGTTCGGGGACTGTCTGTGTTATCCAAGTGAATATACCCGCTTCCCCTAGGTTTCAATCCCTTTATACAACTTGATGTAAAGTAAACTAGGCTAACAAAATTAGTTACCTCCATATTGGTACACACACTTCTGATATGTACACACACTTCTGGAGCGCCCTTATAACAGTAGAAATCATACCTAAACAGACTACATACCTTATTAACTTTTTGGCAATTCAAGAATCAATATGTGAATATACAATAATTTTGCAATATTTTTATTGGAAATAACCGATTTTAAAATTAATATTCGATACAAAAGATTTGAAGATATCATTTCTGAATGTAAACAAATATACACTCTCTTGACCGCCCAATGAGTAACATGGATATTTCATCAGATTTGAATCAAATACTCCTTGCTGATCACAGGTGCCGCAATTGGTGGTGATCTTCAGACATGGGTATGGATGGGATTGCAATGGAAACAAAATTTTGATAATTCTTTCGATCCATTTTCTTGGATATCAGCTACATTTTCTGACTTACAACTTGCACCTTCCAGCATTGCTAAATAGTAAGTAAATTCTTCACTGTATCATATTCTATACTGATTGATGCGAGGCATAAAACACTTCAAAGAAACAGCTACGTATTAAGGAATTATTCAAAAAAGAGAAAATATTAAGCACAGGAATTGCAATTTGTACTGCAATTTCCATTATGGATCCATCTCTGAGAGTGCATTTCTTAAATACATAACCATGGTGGTCAGATCGCTAATATGGCTGACTGCATTTTGAACAAAATTATAATATAAAATGTTAATATAATGGTACCGAATGTCATATAAAGATGTGCCCATGAGTTATAAAAACCATCAAAATTTGAGGTGAAATTTCAGGGGTCTGCAGCCTGCAGGGCTGAAAGAGTATTTGAAAAGAAAAATTGCCCAGCAGCTTCTTCATCTCTAAGTACTAAAAATTTGCAATAAATTGATTAGTCCATCAGTGGAGAAGAAGTTATTTTTGGTGAAAATAGCATCAACCATTAATAAAGCGATCCATAGCTCTACTTTGTGTCCAATGAGAGAAGGGAAACCACAAAACTGGAATGAGCGTGGTTTGAAAGATTAAAAACAAATTTTCCAATTATTTAATTTTTCTGTTTTCAGTGGGAATATCTGGAATCTTTTTCGATTGGATGTGGAAGCATTTGTAGTAGCTTGTGTGTTATATGCAGAAAAGGCAGGAAAACTATGGAGTGGAATCAGAGGAAGGAATGATGACGATGCTCTTGGAATGAATCGCCTTCCTTTGCCACTGTGCAAGAAATTAGTAACTGGAAATCAGGTAAATAAATAAAAAAAGTTCTTTTCCATATAAAAGTTTTTAACAAGGTCTTAAATTGCGAAATATATCTGAAATAAGATAGTGTATTAGCTTAAAACAACATTTTTATCATGTACAAGCCAAATTGATTTGTGACTTTCAGTGCATTGTTGTAACTTGTTTTATTTGTAATGTGTTTCCATTTAGATGTAAATATTTTTCAATATCAATTTTTAATTTGGACTAGTCAGAAAAAAGTTTATTCTAGCTATTTTTGTTTTTGTTCATCTTCAGTCTTGATTTTTGTCGAATTGTCTTTTTTATTACAGTATGCTTTTTTGTTATTTCTTTCACATTATACCTTTCAGTTGAACTGGTGGGATGCAGTATGCAAGTTACACAATAAAAGAAACACAGAAAGGTATGTAATATTTCACTATAGCCTTCTCTCTATATTTTGTTTATCAATATTCAAAACATTGTTTAATTGTACTTACTTTTTTCAGAATATTTAATACCAACCAAATTAAGGCTACATTACGGCATGGACTTGAAGCTATTCGTGGTTCTGGAAATCATGGATTACAATTATTACTCATCGCTTCACTGGCTAAGCATTTCGCAGCTAAGGTACTTGGTTATTTCATGCAAGCTTTATCTTGACGTTGAAGCTTATTTAAACCCTGGGAAATAATGCAATAGGCTAGTGTTATGCTATTTAATTGCTCTGATATTGTGAGCACACACTTACAAGTTGATACATCACAAATTTAAACCTACATAACTAAATTTTGTACATACATTTATTGTTCTATCTGAAAAAAACAGTAAATATAGGATAATTAGAATCTTGAGGCATATACTGTCAAAGAAACAGCTTGGTAGCAACTTCCACAGATACAAAGCTTTGTAAAAAAGCATCTATTCTCTGTTTGAAATTTGGTACAACGATACTGAGGTTCTTTTTTATGGTAAGTTTTTCCCATGAGTGAAATTGTCTTAATTTTAAACACCGTGTTTGGCCCACTGATGCAAAGCTTTGAAAAAATTTATTCAATGTTTAAAATTTGGTACAATAGTACTGTAGTCTTTTATTTGGTAATGTTTCCCGTAAAATTGTCTTAGTTTTCGAGACTCTAATGTATGGCTTCGTTGGACCCCAAATTCTATAACAAAATTTCGGCAAAAGTGTTGCGTTCAATTCATTCGGTGCTCCCTTCTATTTCTCAGGCTTGCTCCATTGACAAGAGTGGTATGGGAACATCGTCAATACCTTGGTTAGCATACCAGAGTCGTGCTGCTCATTATTGGATGTTGGCTTTACCTTTATTACAAACTGCGGCATCTAATCGGATCAGACGTCAAACTGAACCTATAGATAGATTGTTTCCTAACACATTGAATGATCCAACTGTACAAGAGGCACGAGGGTAAATTGAATTTGTGCGTTATAGAGTAATAGGTTTTTATACATGACACTAACTTATAACAATGTTTAGTAATCAGCTTCTATCTATTTCCTGTTTATCTTAGTTATTGGACATGCTGCATACACTTTTCTCTACAACGACTGGACCAATCACATTAAAATTTCGTCAACTAGACCAGGGCTACTCAACTATTTTACCGAAGATTCGCATACAAAACTTCAAAATTATTTGGGTCCGGTGTTTCCACAAATTATATTTCGGCATTCAAACGCGCACTTCTTCGGCCGACTAATGATTATTTGCTCGGTCCGCCAGTTGAGTAGCCGTGAACTAGACTACCATAACTTTTATATTTATTTCCAAATTTCTTTGGCACAACTTTGGAACTGGCCTCTTGTTTATCTCAAATTTCCACCATTCATGTTTTTGTTGACCGATTTTCCTAAGTTAGCATTCGATGAACAGTGTATGTATGTTCAGGCAGATGATGCCACTTTTGTGCCAATATATTCTAGCACTACACTTTTATTTACTTTATGAAGATGATTAGATAGTTTTGTTATTCAACTTGATCAAATGTTTCGTATATTTTATATCTTATTTCATATCAATTTTGGGTCATGAAAAAAATGGATTTGTAAATTTGGTAGAATAGGGATATTATGATGGGATTGTAGATTTGTAGATTGGTTTGACATTGGGTTTATTGCAAGTTTATAGCAATTATTCTTTGACCCAGTACCCTAAATGTAGATACCAGAATGGGCATTCCAGAAGCATGTGTACCAATATGGAGGTAACTAATTTTGTTCGCCTACTTTACATCAAGTTGTGTAAAGGGACTGAAGCCTATGAGCAGAGAGTATATTTACTTGGCTAACAAAGACAGTCTCCAAACTCGTAATAGAACTAAAATGAGTAAAATTGGAATAAAATTATGGCCTAACCCTAACCCTACCCTGGTACACATACCACGGGAGTACCCTAGAATGTAGCTATTTTGAACAGGACTCTTGGGAGTTCATTTCAACGCGATGGAATATCAAAGCGTTGGACTCAACAATAATACTCTCATAGGTACACATCTTGGCTTCAAAATGTATGCTCACCACCTCCTCCATGGTAGAATGCCCAACTGGAAAGTTTTCGTTCCTCTCAATTAAGTATAAGCTCTTTACATACCGTTAGTTAATAGTGGTGCTTGTACAGGGCTTTGTTCGTACCACATGAATATGCATCAAATGAAAAAAAAACTATTCTTGTTTTCAGGTTCATATCTGAGGTATACATGTGTAACGGAAGTCTTCTAGTACAAGAAGGAGATTTGAAACGTGCTTTGGATATGTATGGAAAAGCTGAAACACCACATGCATCATTTTGTGAAGTAAGTCTTCGGAACATAAGTGAACATAACTATTTTGTAATACTAAATAAGTAATATACAGCACATTTATATTAGCAAATGTTCATTATTCATTGATCCAATTAATAAGATGAAAGTTTTAGAGTGTTTTGAAACATGGCGACTTCTATTTTTGAAGTGTGAGCGTGGTAGCCTCGTGCTAGTAAGCTCGTGCTGACTATATAATTGAAGATCTTGAGTTTGACCACCCTTGTCCGCCACTTCACCCAGCGCTAATAACAAGATAGGCAATGCTTTGAAGATTTCATCATTATCAGAAATAGTACCTCCTAACATATTAAACTGCTTTTGAGGACTGTTCCAAGTGAAAAGTGTGATCAAGTTTGTGGAGTGTGGAAAATTTTGGTAAAAAAATGCCTGACCAGATATATATCCTTATTTTGTATTAATGCCTGATTGGTTGGTTTTGAGCAGGAGTGGGAAAATTAACGCCCGAAAACTCCACTGAAGTGTTTTATCTGGCCCAATTATGTCTGCTGAAATTATGACTATAGTTTTTATGGATATAAAATTGATGTTAAAAATATCGAGAAAAATAATGAATCGTCGGTTAAAATAAATACCTTCTAACGCTTTGAATATAATGTGTATAACGAGCCACATATACTTACCATAGTGATCCATCCAAATTAGTATCCGAAGTATGAAGATTAATAATAAAAGCAAAAGCGGATTCAAATTTATAACCAGTCCAAGGAATAAGCACAAGCAGCTTCATGCCTGATTTGAACAAACTTTTGAACACCTGCAGTGGGCTAAATCTGTTTCATTAATTATTGTGCCATGTGGTGGTACACCAGCTGTTTGTTGTACACTAGTTATTTGTAAATAAACCATTTTTTATTCATAGTTGATATTGAGTCTCCCTCTCAATAACCAAGCCTTATTATCTGTGACTTGCCTACTTAGGAAAGTAATTGGTGTACAGTTTACCTGGTTTACAGTGAAGGCATGAATAAAGGCAAATGTCGAAGAGATACTTGAGCATGTTTTAAATTTCACAGGCTCTGATTTACAAGCAACTATTGGAAAATTGTGACAAGGAAGATTCAATTACTACTAGTGGAAACAGGAGACGCGATACGTATCGAAGAAAGGTTTGTATTTTTACAGAGATTTAACTAAAAATCTTTATTTGATCTTCCATATTGAATCTTAGGACCTCCTAAAGTATGCGCACCAAGATGGCGCACAACCTGAACATCTTGGTGCGCATACTTCAGGAGCACCGATACTTATAATAAACAAATTACCTGAGCATACAAATCAGTGACTGGCAGTTTAATAAAACTCTTGCCTTTGAATACCCCTATTCTAAACAACTGTAACCTCGACCATATTCAGAGACGACCCCAACCGAATAATCTGCTATTACGACTACAGTATTGCAGGAAATTTGCCGATAATCGGTGATTTGAGTAGTTATTTTTTATTTTCCATAGTGTACAACCTATAATTATTAAATGAATCTTTTTTGGGTCATTCCTGAAATCAAGATATTGAAATAGTATATCTTAAATAATTTATTTTGCATCAATTCGAATATTTAATCATGTTGGATGGAATCGTGTGTTATTTCCTAATATGCGATAATATTTTTATTTCCACCACAGTACATTGCTCGGCTAGAAATAACACTAAACCGCCTTCAACGGGATCCTGATGAAGAACTTTCTCGAAGAACTGAAACTTTACTTCATGAATGCGTATCCCCGTCATCAAGTCGTACTTTCAAACAGGAAGGCGAAACGAAACGATTGTTTGAGGAAACAATGTCAAGAAACTTGCCTCATATTGCTAGTTAGTCCTAGTTTTTTTTTTGTTGTCAATGCTACTCTTCTGTCTAAGGTGTTTTCATTGATATTAGGGTTGAGGTAGTTCCAAGCTTCTGTGAATTCTGAATTTTAGACTAATGGTGGTAATATCGAAATTTCCTCTGGTACCTAAAAGAGGAATTGACTGAGCAACGGGCAATTCAGAAGGCATGTGAAGATTTATGGCTAAAATTCAATTTTCTATGAATCAAAATTTCTTTCACCTGGAGTTGGGGATTGGAGACGATTCTGAAGTGAAATAGCTCAAAGTTTTGGGTGTTACTTCGAAAATTGGAAATTCTACCTAAAAAATTGAGTTTATATTTTTTTTTTTATTTCCTAAAAAACTTCTTTTCAAATGTCTAATGTTTTTCACCATATAAATGTCAATCATTTTTGTTCAGATCACACTGTCAATTCAGAAGTTGATGTTTCTGTTTTACCAACTATACCGAGCAAACAATCAACACCGAAGGTAACTGGCAACTTAATACAGCATGGTATAAATTGTAACAATGTGCTCTAAACAAATATTTTAATAATTAATGATTTAATAATTTCTACTTGGCTGCCTATTTTCCTCTTCAGTTCTTCATACTTTTGAAGCGTCCTACTCGTGTCATTTTATATTTGTGAGCCTTGGTGGTGTTTTTAGAAAATAGCTCAGTTAGTTGTTATCCTTCCTCTATCTATTTTTGTCATCTTCTTCTGAATATGAATTAGATATGTTCTGATGTAATGGTTCTTAACATAATTGTCTGATTTGTAATATTGATTGATTTATACACATTAATTTTGGTGATTGATAATCCACTTCTAATTTTCAACTTAGTGATAAATAAATATGAAGACTTGTTGGAGTTTCATAAGTAATGCAGTATTATTTATTATATGTCACATCAAACCTTTGACTACATTTCCAAAATTTTGCACATTATAAATTCTTGTTCATCCCTACCTGCTACTAGTTGTGTTGCTACTATCAACTATGACTAAAAGCTCGCAGGAAGCTGATTTCCCACTACCATTCACGTCATCACACTATGCCCGTGAATGACCTTTATTCAATTATATCAACTATGGTATATGATTAAGTATAATATGAACTGTGTTTTATCATTGAATTAAGCTTGAGTTGAAATAATTTTCTTCTATGAGATATTGTATTACGATTCAATGTTTCCCCGCGTAATTTGAACCTTTTTTATTCATAGAATGAAGCTCGGCCTGTTGAACCTATTGATTCAGATAAAAATGGGATGATGACTCAGCTCACACAAAACATGTGTACATTGGCTGTGAGTATTTAGCTTGCTTCACAAGAGTTAACGCTTAGATAAAATTTTCCTTTCTCAGTATATATTTAGTGTGGTTTAAAATATTGGGTATTGCAGATATGAATCATTGTAGAAGTATTATTGTAGAAGAGTTATTTGTCATTTTTTTTTCACTATACATTTACTGCTGTATTAGTTTATCAAAATATAGCTTTCAAGATCAAAGTTTGATTGAATATTCTTAGTGTCAGTGTTTCATCGAGAATTTATTTTAAATTGAATTGTAATTCACCTTTGTGCTATTTAAGGAATGCTTTTGTGAACTTGTTTAATTGGATTCCCCATTTCTTATTGAGGTTTGTTTAGGCGATCCTATTTTAAAATTTCACAACATGAGACACTTAAGATTTAGTTCCTTCTTACCCTCAACTGTAAAAAGCAAAGCCATATCAGGCTTGATCAGCGTTAGGATGCTCCTACAGCTCACTTGTATAATATGTACCTTTCTTCCTGTCATGTAAAACTACAGCGAAGAAGCATTGTTTGTGTACCACCAAAAGAAACTTCCCCTTCTTATTACCCAGGGCTTGTGAAAGGCGAAGTCTTTTCATTTTATAGTCAGTGCGAAATCATAGTCTGTTTAAGCTTAATGATTATCCAGTTCAGAAGCCCAATAAACTGAAACTATTGTAGTCAGCAACGCTCAACGTACAAGTATGACTAGACTTAGTTCTGTTGTATTTGTGGTTTGTATAGGTAAAATTGTGTGGCTGCCAAATTCTTTCAAAGACTTCTACCTACACTTTCCCCTTTTGTATTGTATTATTTTTAAGACTATACTTGCAGTGTTGAGTACTATATATAAATGATTTCAGACATGAAAATGTGTCCACCGAGCAAGAAGTAGTGTAGTGTATGTTGTGTCGTATATTTGATATTTTAAGATTGCTTGAAGAAGAGTCACAGTAACTTGTTTAGATTGAAATCCTGCCTAATTTTACACAATGTCCTTGAGAAATAACAGCAGAGTCCAGAATATGTAGATTGACATTTTATATTAGGTTGAAAGAATGAGATGTCAGTATCTGACTAATTTATTTACATTAGAATTTGTGTTTACAGACTGCTATGTCTTCACTTCAACTACAATTTAATGAAAATATGAATAAAATGGAACAAAACAAAAGTCAAAAACAGACTCGATCGGGAACAGAGGTATCAACATATCAATCCTATTAGTTGCTATTTCTAGAGTTTTTCACTAATTATCAATTTGGTAATTTAGATTTTTTAAAACCTATTTCACACATTTTATTCCAAACATGCATCCACTAATATGCAATGAGGTTGAAAAACTGAAATCTCTCCATTTGGCATTTGCTTTCGACCTTAGAACCTGATTTTGCGATGCCAACATGGTACATTCCCAACGCCTCAACCCAACGAACTTATATTCCAATCAAAATGCACTTTTTTTCTCAGTATTGCTGCACACAGCATGAATTCACCAGAGCTTAAGTTCAAATTTTAATAGATTTTTTTAATCTCTTCCAGGAAAAGAAAGAAGTAGTTTTGGAATCAGTTGTTCAGCAACTTGCTAAATTAACGGTAAGATTTTTCAGATTATAGCTTTGAATTTTGATAATAAAATTTTTTTTGCTTGCTTATTATTGAATATTAAACTTTAGATTAACATTTCTGATTCATGTTTTAATCACAGATTCAAAATTCAGTTAGTATTCAATTTTATGTCTTTTTGAAGAATTAAAGCTCTTTCTAAAAACTCATCTTACTTTATTCGTCTGAACTCGGTAAAGTTAAGAAAACTATGAGAACTATCAGAAATGCTATTTATGCAATATTGACTGTTTTATTAATACACCAATGTGTATGTGGTTGGAATGATCAACTGGTGAATTAATATTCCCATGCCTAAGCCTGGACCAGGAAAAAAGTCTCAAGTTATCATATTACCATAATATTTAGACACTTGTCTCTGAACTGCAAGAGAAAAAAGAAGTTGCAGAATCGGTGAAATACCAGAAACAGCAAGAGGCCATGCAACTACAGTTGCAGCAATTGCAAGATCAAGTCAATCGGTCACAATTTGGTACACCAGTTGCACCAGGAAGAGTTGTTCACTTGACTCAATCGGAAGGACAGATGCCAGGCAGTCCGATGCACCAGGTTTGTCATTTCATATAAAACAACATCAGAGCAAGAGCCGCAATAATATTTAGCTGAAAGTAGATGATAACAATAGTTTTGATCGTCCTTGGATTCATAGATTCATTGTGCCTGTTGATAAATCGACATATTGCTGTTACCATTGAGGGCAGTGCCCTGATTTACAGAGTGTATGACAAAAAAACATTTTCTGTTAAACTATTGTTAGTATATTTGATCGAGCCATCGTTATGTGATTTTTTTACAATCATAATTTTTCTGGTTCACAATCTTTTCGCAATTAAATTTTGATCATCATATTTCTTCTCCAAAACTCTACTTATTTTTCTAGGTATATGATCCTCATTCTTACCAGCAAGCTGCGCTTGGACAAATCAGCAGCCCAATGCAATCTGGCAATCCATACTACAATATGCTTTCATACCAACAAGGATATCCACCACAGAGCCCAGCTCTTGCTGCAATGTATGCTCAACAGGGATATATTCTTCCTCAGTCACAGTATGGCCCGAGAATGCCGCAGCAGGTATTGGATAACCATGGAATGCCTAGCCCATCTCATACACCACCTACACATGTTGGCAGGCCTCAGGTTCCTCCATCAAATGCTGAATTATCAATTACAAAAGAAGGTTGGATTTCTTTATACAATGCTTCACTATATATATTATCATTTGGATCAGTCGTTCCCAAAGATATAATTAAGATAAGATACTGGTATATTTGAATTGTGATAAATATACGCATGCTTAAGTTGTGATAATGAGGCAACAATTGGCAATATGTGCAACGCAAAAAAGTAAAAACATAAAGTGTTAAACTATTTCACTTAACTTTGGCTGGCCATATTAAATTGTTACTTGGGTCGCGGTTCGGGGACCACTGTCTTAGATTTAACATACTTATCATTTTACCACAAGATATCCACAAGGATTGATAGTAACTTAAAACTTATAGTCAATATCTAGTGATATCTCTGTAACATCAATATACTGCAATCAAACTCATTGTTTGTCAGTGCTCACTTGTAATAAACATTTATTTGTGAGTTTTGCTTTTTTAAGTTTTCTGAAACTAAACTCAACGTTCGAGTTTTTGAAACCTTTTCGCTTTTCTCCATTAGTATTTTTTCACATTTTGTAACGTAGGCGCCGATGCTCTTTCCATTCGATTCCAAGCTTCACTGAGTGGAAGTGCTTCACCAACTAGCATGAGTAGAGGAGGTGGTGTTCAATCACCAGCACTTTCAAGAAGTGGACAACCAGCACAATCACAATCTGCTTTCACAACATTAGGTTTCAACCAACGAGATATGCCAAGTATGGAAACTTTGCATTATTCACGATTGAATGCCAAATACCTAACTTACATTACAATTTTTATTGGTTAATTAATATGAATAAATTCACAATGGGTATTTAACATAAACATAAACTTATGATAATAGCACTATAGGAAAATAGTTGAATTTTGTTTAATGTAATGTACATTGAATGGTATTTGTATCTCATAAGTCTCTGTGATTTTCTGGTCTATAATTTAGTCAACTTACATGAATTTGATCATTTATTGGGGAATTAGAATATGTGACACCTATGAAGAAATAAAAAATATAATGAGAATGACAATCTCTTTCTGTTTTCTATGTAACTTGAGCCTTAAAACCGATTATAAATTGTCTAAATATTATTAAATTGTTTTACCTTTTTTTTAAATGCTTCAATATAAATCTGTCAGGTGGCTCAGCTTCACCATTTCAACAAGTACGTTTACCACAAAGTAGCAGCGAACCAATTCTCGGAGATCAACAACAACAACAAGATTTTGCTGATCATCAGTTTGGCCATAATACACAATTTCCTGGTGCCAGAACTCAACCTCAACAATATGAATCTGATTATTCGGTATTACAAGTGATGCTTGATCACTGTATTATTTTCTGTCGCACACACTTTAATTTTCTTTGAAATGTTTGTTAGGAAGACTGGGGCTTGTTAATAAGATTTTTATGTATTTTCTGTGGGTTTTAACTATTGAATCCCAATTATTTTTGGTAATCATGTTTGTTTCATACTGATTTTGTAAAATTATGTGCTTTTCATATTTCACTAATATAACACAATTCATTACTTTATTCAGAATATGCCGAACCTTACTGCTCACAGATACCAACAAAACATTGGTCTGGATGAAAGCTATTTGCCTCCTAATGTACAAAATTCTGTGCAGCCAGTGACTCAACTCGGTGAACCATCAGTGCTTAGGAAAATTCTGGTTAGATAATTTTTGTTTTATTTTGACTGTTATCGAAATTTATTTTTTGAATAGAGCTTATTATCAGTTTGTACATAATGCAAAAAGCAGATATTCATTTATATTCTTATGAGAAATGTACCAAATTGAAAAATGTGGCTAAATTGGAGGGGAACTCGAATATCATGGTCAAAATTTCAATAATTTTTTTGCACAGAATGTTACTAACCAGTAATGTAATTTTCCATCATCTCCGTACAATTTTAAATTTACAAGTTTGTTGAATATAATACGAAGTTTGTTCAAGTTTTAAAAGTACAAGCACACGGACTTGTCTTCTGATACATTTGTTCAAGGTTCTATTAAGTCATATTAAAACAAGCCATTGTTTCAAATTATTTTCCACTTTGATTTACCAATACTACTTGACGTTTAGAGTATTAGTAGCTTTTACAAATCAAAACTATTACTTTTTCAGTCCAATGATGGAAGCTCAGCTTTCCAACCAGCACCACCTGAGTTGCAACGTCGTCCTGAAATTAATTATCCGGAACACATCAATTTTCCTGAAAATAAGAATCAAACTGCTCCATCTACCAGTTAGTATACATGATTGTTGTAGGACCTGGCGTTTGGAATACAATTGAACTCTTTTAATTTGCATTGTATATTAGAAGCAGTGGATTAAGCTGTTAAAATTTATCAAATTAATTCATTCAAAATATGTTACCTAGTACAGCATACAATTTGGCATGATTTTCTTATAGCATGGAATTATAAATTTCAAACTCCAGAAGAAATGGATAAAGCAAATGATAAACTAAAAGCAGATGAAGAGGCAGAAGATGCAAACACATCCCAGAACGACACTGGTCCTCACTTTGAACCAATTGTGAGATTGTCTGAAGTTGAGGTCACTGTTTTATCATGTTTATTTTCTAGATCCAAACGTTTTAAAGTTAACGTTACTTGGTGTTCTTACATATCTAAGTCACAAATTACTCATTTAAAAAAAAAAGTGATTGTGGTTTAAATTTTTTTTCATATAATCTGAATTTTTACATCTTTTATAGTTTTGTTTTTTGGTATGTAAATGTAAATGAACAAGGCTTTCATCAGATAAATTGTATTTCATAGGTACGTACTGGTGAGGAGGATGAGGAAGCTGTTTTCTCTGAAAGTGCAAAATTGTATAGATGGACTGAAGGACAATGGAAGGAAAGAGGAGTTGGTGTGATGAAGATATTAAAACATAAAGAAACTGGAAAATACAGAATTCTTATGAGACGGGATCAGGTAGCAGCTGAAAATAGTCACAGAATGAATTTATAACATTCTAGCTATATTGTGTATTAGTAATGTTCCTAGTATGAACTGAGCTTCAGTGTTCAGTTGAACTTTAGCACTAGATGCTCTCAGCACTTGAGATATGATAATTGCAGTGTCAAGTGAAAATGAAATTTTGATGGATAATTGCTACTATTTTGGATCAATTGTTTGTTGTTTGTTACTTCATTGATGTTGTAATTGTTATTAACATATTGAAAATCTATGAAAAGTGGTGCATTTAAAGAATCATAATTTAGGAAGGGGATTTGAACACCAAGTATGAACCTATTATTCCAAGTTGTTTTTTCAATTATCACTAATATTTATAATTCTCCATAAATTCAGTATTTCCATGACATATTGGATATTATTGTAACTTTGTTGTGATTGAATTCTTGTTATTATGTTTCACACAGTTTGTATTTGCAATTATTTTGTAGCTAACAACTACATATACTCTTATTGAGGCCACTTTTTTCTGGTGTTCTACTATACCTTTTTCTGAAAAATACAATTTTTTTTAAGATTCTAAAAATATGCTGTAATCACTTAATTGGAAAAGATCTGGAGTTACAAGCGATGCCTAAATCAGATAAAGCATGGATATGGCATGCATTGGATTTTTCTGAGGAGGAAAGCAAACAGGAAGGATTTGCTATTCGATTCAAAACTCCTGAACTTGCGAATTCATTCAAAGAAAAGTTTACAGAAGGAAAGGAAATTAATATTAAACTCAGTGGAGGTATAGTACCTTTTGATTATTCTTGTAAATGAAGTTCTACCTGATTCAGGCATGGGAATTTTTGTTTGAGGTGTTTTACGTGCTCGGCTCTGAGCCCGGTTCCAGACAAGTATCCATAATACTTCTAAATAAATATGTAGCTTTTGCAAGTTGACATTTATTTGTCTATTAATTACTTTGGTTGTGCTTGCTTATGTTTGATTTTGATATTAGGTACACCTGTACGTGCGTCTACAACTGCAAAAGTAACTTCACACAAACCTGCATCTACTGTGGATACTTTGCCTAAAACTACAAACTCGATAGTGGCACAAGGAGGTATATTTATTCAATATTAATTCAATATTCATGTTCAGTACCATCTTTAAATACTAAACCTCCAAAGGTAGTATCTGCAAGTCAGTCTACATCTGATAGTTCAATTTAGACATCAAATACTCAAGCGAATGAGGATTTTTTTTCAATTTATTATTTGTTTCAATGTGTCCATCGAAAACATTCAATTTATTTATGGGTGATAACATTTTTTTGATAAAATGCCAGAATTCTCCACCGTTTATAAAATATCTTTTTTATGGAATGTAGATGAAGCTTGAGACAGGAAATCTTATTTCTAGGAAGCTCATCATCTTCTCTCGTCCTGACGCCTATTCATTTGATAAGAACAGTGGTTGAATTCTACTATGTTTCTTAATGTTACTAATATTAACCTATTATTGCTAATTTTACTTCAGAGACCAAATCTTCTACCAGTGATGTAACAATCCCAAAATTTTCTTTTGCTTTTCCAAAACCATCAGCAGCAGCTGCTAACCTTGCAGCAAAGATCGCGGGTTCGCCACAGAAGTTGGTTTCCACTGCTGGTAAGTTTGAATCTTTAGTTGTTTAATGCAGCAAATTTAAAAACTAGTAGCAAGAAATTATTTAATAGTTTGTAAAGGAAGGCAATCCGGAGAATGGCAATATCCTTTGTAAGTAGTGTTGGCGTTTTTTAGAGCTTTTGCTGAAATATCATAAAGTTGTACGTTTTTTTGGACTTTTGTTGAGGAATTATATATGATTTGCACCACCATGAATTCCATGCATTGACGATATACTGGTAATTTTATATTTCATTACAATATAGGTCAAGAAACGAAACCAGAAAGTTCAAATAATGATGGCGATCAGAATGAAGACATACATAATGAATCTGGAGATGGTCCTCATTTTGAACCGATTGTTAAACTTCCTGATAAAGTCGAAACTAAAACAGGAGAAGAAGATGAACAGGTATTTACTACATTGCTACTTGATTGATTTGTTTTATTAACAATAAACGGGAGAAAAGGTCATCTAAGAGTATGTGAACCAAAATGGTGGAAAATGGAACGTAGTATGTGTACCAGGGCAATACCAGGTTCTCCCGTAGTATTTGTACCTGAAATTATGTCCTAACTAGGGCTGGGAATGGTTAAACGGTTAACCGATTTCAGATGGTTAACGGTTATGATTTATTTTAACCGTTAACTGACATCTCAGGTACAAATCATCTTCATACCGTACAATTTCGTCAAATATGATTACGTCATCGCAAATTTATCTCTTGCGGCGTTTAATCAAATCGATTGATATTGTTCACGATTTCATTGCAAAATCGGATATTCAATGTTATACAACAAGTGTGCGGTTGATGCCTTTTTTCTTTATGATTTATATCTCGAAGTAGAATTTGCATATCGAACATTAAAAGTTTGTCACATAAATGACGTTTATTAACAACGGAATCGGTTTTCTAAAACATTTCCACATGCCCGAACCACGCTGCATATCTTTTGCAGCAGAGAAATCATGAAACTATCTCGATTCATGAATAATTTTGAGCGATACCGGGATAAGAACACGCGAAATTGCTTTATAACCATTGTGACGTAACAAGCTGAAATTATAATTATTACGTCAAACGTCACGCGGCGATTAACCGGTTAATTTTACCCGGTTAACGATTAAAGTGTTTTCCCTGAAATTCCCAGCCCTAGTCCCAACCCTAACCTGTTACGCATACTACATTCCGATGTCTGCCATCTTGGTTCACATACTTCGGGAATACCGAAGAAAAAATGTTCCTCGAAAATAACGAGGAACCCTGGCGATTTATTTCTCACCTCATAGAACCGATTGCTTGTGATCGAAACGTTTAGTGAAAATTAGTTGGTGATACTACTATAAGGTTTATACAATACTTACTCTCTTCCTTGAACGAATTTGTAGCAAGATCGAAACTCTTTTAGAGTCTCCCCTTTTATATTTAAATTTTATGATGAAATATTGTTAGAAATTTTTTTCTTGTATGACTGTCATTCAGTGATATTATTCATATACTTTTACTCTATTTGGTGCCCCAGAGGCCTAAGTCTTCCGGTTAGTCATGGTTTGGTCATAAACCATATTGGAAAAGATTGTACTGACTGTTGTCTCGCTTTTAGGTTCTTTATTGTCATCGTGTGAAGTTATATAAATACACTGACAAACAATGGAAAGAAAAAGGAATTGGTGAAATGAAAATTTTACACAATGCTGGCACAAAGAAAAGTAGAATTGTAATGCGAAGAGACCAGGTAAGCAAAGCTGTAATGATATTGGCGTGTCTTGACGTTTATAGATACAACATTAAAATTCTGTGATTTTAACAAACATGAATCCTGACATTGGGATTAGGAAAAGGGCTATTCCCAGTTGGAATAGTTCAAAAATAACTCAAAAATGTTCTGCCAATGATTTAATGCACGCTAAAATTGTTTTGCGGGCCGCACGGAATGTGCCTTTCTTTAATGAGATGGAACTGTTCCATTTTTCAATCAATATTTCGGTAATCATTGGTATCTGTGCACAACCATATTTGTATCTTGGCTCATCAGTGGAAATTCGTGGCATTAAAAATATGCAATCCCTTCCAAGTAATCTTGGAAGGGATTGCATATTTTTAGATCATTATACTGTTATGAAATACAGTATATGATTTGGTATATTGATTTTGCAATGATAATATTAGGAAAAGTTTAGATATTATGAGAAACTTTTCAAATGACACAATTTTTTACATAATTAATACTCACTTTCCAGGTTTTGAAGCTATGTGCAAACCATTACATTATTCCTGAAATGAAGTTCTCACATCTTGGAAATTCTGATAAAGCATGGACTTGGACTGCTGTTGATCATTCTGATCCAGATGTTGAACCTAAACCAGAAGTACTCGCTGTTCGATTTAAAACTGCTGAAGAGGCTTCTGACTTTGTGAAGGTTGTTAATCAAGCAAAAGATATATTGCAAGGAAAAGGTAAATATTTTTTCCATGTAGCTTGGGTTCTTTGTTTGAAATTTGTTTTGAATGACATTAGAACAAATAAGTTTGTAAGTTGATGGCATTTCCAACTCTTTTCTGAGTTGGTTTCATAAATAAATGTTTCCACCAGGGGAATTTCTGGCATATTTACTCATGCCGAGCCAACAATTAAAAACAATCATAAACAGATAGTCCAATTGATATGCTCAACTGAATATTGTAAAAGTTCTTTTTACATAACTTTTGAGAGGCCTGTGTACTATTGGCCACTTTTCCTAATCAGTTTCAGTATTTTAACTATAGTTATCTCTTTTATATACAGTTATTTCTATATTATATGCTTACACTGTTTTTCAGATGTCTCTTCATTGACAACTACTGTTTCTTTCATCAAGTTATCAACCCAAACTACTGCTACGACATCATCTTTCAAATTATCAACTGTATCTACAACTACCAGCCAGACCACGCCACAAAGGTAATCTCTTTTAATTGTTTTCCAATGATAGTTTTCTTGATGATTTTATTTTGTATATCATTTGTTCTATTTAACTTTTTACTTCATTTTTTTAGTATTGCCCAAACACAAGTCTCTTCCACAAAAGGAATGTTGGTAGTTGATAAGAAGGCTGGAGCTTGGAATTGTTCGGGATGTTATGCTTTGAATGAACCTACCGATTCAAAATGCCCATGCTGTGGTGTGCCTAATCCATCGGCACCCAAAGTTGGTAAGTTTTCGGATTGTATCAATACCATGTCTTAAACTCTATTATAACTAAATACTTTGAATTGGAAATACTTGTCTGAATGGTTCAGTAATGCCATCAGTATAGTTGCCCCATACCAAAGCTTATGCTTATTACAATTCGTTACAAAATTTGCAGTGAAGTTTTTATTATGAGTGGGATGTCATTTTAAATTATTTCATTTCAAAATCTTGTTGGATATTTATATCAACCCAATTCTTTTTTTTAATTTTTTATTTCTCACACAAAACTATGTTAATGTTTCCAGAGGAAACAAAGCCTTCTGCATCAACATTTGCATTTGGCATCTCTTCAAAACCAACTGGATTTTCCTTTGGGGTGAGATATTTTGATCCATTCTAAATACTATTATGATAATATGTAATTATAACAATAACATTGCATATCTAATATTTTCAGATTCCTTCCACGAATGCAAGCGTAAGTAAAACAATTTTCAGCATTGTGAACATTAAATATTATTTTTAATTCTTGTCTCATTAATTATTGAACAAAAACTAAGAACAAAATGTATAGATGTAATAATCTGTTTAATGTTACAATAAAGAGAGAACCAGATTAGTTGGCCTCCATGGATGTCAGTGGCTTCTATATATGGTGGTTTCCAGCTAAACGGTTTTTGACCAAAACAAGGATATGTGCGCTTAATCAGAAGTGATTTAGTCACGTATTTGAGCAAGTTCTTTACAGCTCCCAGTCTATATGGAATGAGGTCCATGCATTACATGTCAGTTAAAATCGGTATTATATAAGTTAGTTCAGGTCATTATGCTCAGGAATGCAGCTATAACATAGTGAATCTACATAACTGGAGTTTTTGACAGGTTTCCTACTTGAAATTTGTTTGTTTTGAGCAGGGGTGCACAACCTGCGGTCGTACGGCCGCATGCGGCTTTCGAAGGTGAAATGTGCTGGTGTATGTGTTTTACTGTAAAAAAACATATGTTTAATATCATTCTATGTTGGCGCTTGACTGTTACGTCTTTAATGCAAAATAAACTAAACTCGAGATTATAAAGGGTAACAGTTGTAAACATCGCTTCATGTCACTAAAAGGCCAGAAGCGCAGCCAGCCGGAATCGGAATCAAAACTTTTCATACGGCAGCTCCTGAAACATGATATAGCGATGACGCTACTAGTTGAAAAAGCCCATTTTTTCGATAAGATTTTTTTACGTTGAGCAAAATACTTACGCAACGACCGATGCGAGCATTCAAAATACCTTGCTATATAAATTTAATTGGGTTCGACATAACTTGCGATTTAATCGACCCACTTATAAGCATTATTAACATATTAGCATTATTTTTTACTGTAATATAGCAGGGCAATCAGCGGAAATTGATATACGTGGGAAATTTATTCATCTTTTACCTGCAGTCTTGCGAATTCGTTATCGTCGTTAGAAATATCCGAAGGTCTACGATAAAATTCCAAAAATTACATTTTAATTTAGTATAAAAAAAAGTTGATTAAACATACCGGTACTTCACACTGATTAGCTTATATATCATCATAATATGATAAAAAAAATTCAGAGTTTTAATATTCACTCGCTTATTTTCAATTGGAAATTTTTATTTGCAGATTCACCCTTTTAATTATATTTAGCGTCTCTATGCCGATGATCGCATTATAACGAGTTTTTTGAGATAATTTACCAACATAATATCTATGTTAACGGCCTAAATAACCGCGTCAAGCTGACCAAAACAATCGGCGACTTGAATAACATTAGTGAAAACAGCATGCGTTATTAGCAACTTTTAAGGTCTCCCGAAAATGTTAAAAAAGAAGCGGAGATTTGGCCTCTTCGCTGCGCCATAACAACAGTAATTGAGAAGTGTCGACTGGTGCTCTGGCTTCTCTTCAGACTGTGGATTTCGATTAACGATAAAAATATTTTGTCATGTTTGTATAAATTTAAGCATTTCATAAATGTTTTAGACGCGCGCCAATAAGATATATCAATAAAAGCCAATTTTTAAAATAAATGTGACTAATAAAAGACCTTGATTTCCCTGGCGGCCGTGGACAATTTATAAAACGTAAAACGTAATAAGAAGCAAGTTTCGAAGATTCAAAGAGCACCCTTAGCATCTGGAAATTGAAAATGATAACTACTAGGCCAGGGGTGAGCAACCTTTTTCGGCTCGCATGCCAAAATCGGCTAAATTTAACAACAAAATTCTTCCGCGTGCCGACCAAAATTAAAAACAATGCTTTGCTACTTCCAAAGCAAAAATACATAATAATAAACCTTTTAAACATGTACAAACGGATTCACTATTCGGATAAATATCAGTCCGACAAATAGATTTGATTACTTTTCTTATTCTATCAGTGAGACTTCTGCTGCTGCATTACCACTGATAGAGATTTTACATTGATTTATATTTTGTATCTTTCAAAGAAATACACGAACTATTGGTTTCAACTTCCAGGCTACTCCTGTTACGAAACTTAGTAAATAGTAAAGACTTGGTAAAAAGACTTAATAACGTTCCAATTATAACTGAGAACAAAGATTCACAAGCATATGCAGATGATGTAGAACAGTGGTCGGCAAACTTTATGTACTTGCGGGCCAAATATACACATTCCTTGTAGCGCGCAGGCCGCAATATTTCCGCTTTCGAACAATCGCTAGATCGAATTTCGAATTGTGGCACATTCACACCTTCTCTTATTGTGTTAAAAGCCTGCTGTTATGACATGTGTATGTGCCGTTTTTTAATATATATAATATCCAACAACATATTGTTTTTATTTACTTGTTATTAATGTGAAGGATGATGTTTTTATGCCAACTTGCCCACGGTACGTCGTCCAAAGATAATCTGACAAGCGAGTACAAAGTTTATTCCAAGTGTAATGCATTTTAGATAAAGCTGTTTGCAGCAATATGTTCTTCCGAACATGCCCATTACATGTTTTGCACTGTCGCATAGATCAGCTGTGGCGCAGTCCTAGCTCTCGGGTCGAATTTATTGTCGAAGCACATTGGAATGTTCGGCCCTCGTCACGAGCTACCCTGCGTTTCCCAAACATTTTTTAAATTTAAAAATCACAATTAACTTGAACGACATGCAACTGACGCTACATATTACAAAACAAGTGCCATGCAGCAGTACTTGGTACCACATAAATCCCCGTACAGACAATAATAAATTTAGGATCAATTTTTGTTTCATTCAATAAATGTCGGGTTGTTCGAGGGTCGCAACAAATTAGCTCGCGGGCCCATTTGGCCCTCAGTTTGCCGACCTCTGTTGTAGAGTAATGTACCGTAGTTTTTAGGTTTTAGAAAATTCTCGGGAATGGCATCCCAATCATGTAATAGTTCGTTTTCTGCACTTCTCTCTTGTATTCCCTTTCCCAATAGCTTTTATTTCTTTCGAAATCAATTTATAACAGTAAGTTAGCAAGTAACACTACCCAACATGAGCTGCACAACTTCATAAATCGATCAGAAGTATATATTACGTATAACAATGTAGCCAAATGAACGTTGTGTTCATCCTGACAAAATTCGTCGAGAGCTCAGCTGTTACGCCATAATATATATATTTCTTTGAAGCCATATGTTATGAAAAGATAAAAAGAGTTTAAATAAATAACAGTTTGTTAACAAACGGTAATGAATAAACGAAACCGAATTTTATCAGATAATTCAGTCTCGAAACTTTTTATCTGAAATAGGACGATCTCGTTTCTGAGGCTTCACTCGCGTTCCAAATAAATGGGCTTGTGTGCCAAGTTTGGCACGCGTGCCAGGGATTGCCCACCCCTGTACTAGGCCATATACTGTTGATGGAAAAAGAAATATTCCAGTCATGATGATTTGTTCAGGATTCGGAGAGAAAAATATAATGAAAGATTTGCAAGAACATTTTCTAGGTTCAGAAAAAATTGTCATTGGTCCCACCAGTTGGAAATCCATAGTCTTTCCAAAAATCCAATTGGTGTTATTTATTGGACTTCGTGTCAGGATGAAAATAAAGAATTGTGTCGTTAGTATGAATAAGTAAATTGTGTATAATGTTATCCATAAGTCCATTGATTATTGTCAGGAAAAATTCAGGCCCGAGCTTTGAGCCATGAGGAAGACCAGATATACCGTAGGATTAGTGTTTATTTAATTATAATTTATAGTTGAGAAAGGTCTCGTGTTGAAATTCATGGCTTCAGTTTGTAGGAAACTGACCCAGATGGTATTCGAATTACACATCCTAAAAGTATACATTTATATTATTGTTCTTGATAATAACATAGCAATGCTAAACACATATCTACAAGAACTATTGGTAGGAAAACTGAACTACTATTTGAAAATAATTTACATTCATCATTCATAGGTATATTCAAAACTGGGTTGCAACTTCTTATTTTGAAATTGGTGGTTCGCAAGCATTAAAAATGCAACTGCAGAATGTGCCATTGCATGGCTGCTTGTAGTACATAAATACAAAACTTATGTTTTACTGGAAATAGCAGAATAAAACAATCCAATGCCACATTTCAGAATAAAACACAAGTTTGTGCATTTCTCATCTATACCGAAATCATTGGTTATTTAATTGTGCTAGGTGGAATCAGATCAACTATTGCAGTAATGACTTTATAATCACTTTAAATAGGAATTTATATAGGATTGGAATTTTTTCAAAAAAACAAAGAAAGTAGTGTTCATTTAATTATACTTTCATTTAACCAGGTCACGTATTGGGGATTTTGGCTTTTGGAAAACTATACCAAATGGTATACAAATTACACACTAGTATGCGTTAATGTTTACAATAGTGGTCACAAATTTGCTATTTTTCACAGTATACCACGCTATACGTATGGCGATGTTCATAACAACGCTAAACACATTTCTATCCATGTGTTCATTCATAATTATTAGGAAAAATATAGGCCCCAGCATTGAGCCCTGAGGAAGACCAGATGTATTTTAGGATTGAAATTGTATTTTATCAATCACATTATTATTTATTTGGAAAAACAAAGAAAGTAGTGTTTATTTAGTTTATAATTGAGCAAGGTCCCTTGTTCATAAATATGGCTTTAGCTTTTAGAAAACTAAACCAGATGTTTTTGTAATCTCAGTCCATTTTTACATTTGATATACTAATAGTAATATTTATTTTATACAGGTATCGAAACCAATATTTGGAAATCAGCAGCCTGTGCAATCGAGTATGTATCATCATTCTTGAATTAGATTTGTTGGTTTGCTATTATATCCATCTGGAAAATGTAATATCGAATACTAGATTTGCTGGCAGCAGCATTAAATACTAAACCAAATAGTGAACTTCTAAATAGAAGGCTTTGTAAATGCATTCATTTTCAAAAACTGATCTGTCGACCATAAATAGCATATATCTAGGCAAAAAGTATGGGGTGATTGACAATCTACTGCAATTGAATTTTTTATTTTCTGCTTGAACTACAGTTAATTTTTTACATCCACTCACATTTAGATTCAGCAACAATAAGTTTTGGTTCAACTGGTTTTACTTTTGGACAAAACAAGTCAACTTCTGCGACTACTGTGAGTACTAATATTTGTAATTTTTTATTTGAATAGGTCACTTCTGATTTAATTATATAAGTAGAATCACGGTGAATGGCTATCATTTTCAATGGTTTCATATTATCTTTGTTTAAAAATTTAGTACTATTGAACTTATTTTTACTAGGGTATTTATTTTGCAAATAATAAATCTTCAATAAGTCAAAAGCAGTTATCATGTTTTTTTCAGGTGTCTACTACTTCAGTATTCAGCGTACAAACTTCAGAAAGTAAGTTGTTACTCTTCTCATTTGTTTTGAAATAAATTAGATATCTGTTTTACTCTGGTTCACATGGCTATCCAGTAAACAATGACTTAAATGATATAAATGTATTTTTTTCTAAAAATGTTTTTTTACTTTAATGAACTTTCAACTCTGTTGACAAGGAGCATTTCAGGCAGAATAGACTGGGAACTACTCTGGTTGACAGAATAATTGGATGAGATGTTCATGTTTCTATATTTTGCCTACATTTACAAGTTTCTCTTTAAAATTCAGAATCTGATACAGCCAGTACAGCAGCTACCATCCCTGAACCATCGGTTTCACAAGTATCAACTACTGGTGTACTGAGGGTCACCAAAAAGGTCGGCAGTTGGAGATGTGAATCTTGTTATGTGGAAAATGAACAAGACAATGCAGTTTGCCAATGTTGTGGGCAAGCAAATCCGAATGCCACACAAGCACCAGGTAGGTGCCAGTGCCAATAGGTTTAAAAAAAACTGCCATATGTACATTTTAGATATATATTTGGTATATCAATTACTTGAGTATATGAAAATAATTTAATTAAGCAGTTTTTGAACTGATTGTTGGAATACATGTCTAATATTGTTATTGGTATTCACAGCTGGAGAAGCAAAGCCTGGATTGTTTGACATGAATACAAACCAGGGCAGTAAATTCTCATTTGGAATTTCTAGTCAACCAACAGTATTTTCTGTAAGTTTTTATTCTGTTCAATGTTCTATATTTTCAAGTATGTTTTAAGGCACATGCACTAATGGACATTTTATCGGAGTTTTGATGAGCCAAGCTCAAGTCTGCTAATTTTTTCTGATTTTGCTAACGCTGATCTGTCAGATTTCATATTAATGTATTATCAAGCTTTTTTCATTAGAACAGAACCAAGACCTAAAAAAATATTTTATGCTGTTTTTTTTCAACCCAGACAAAGACTTCTTCCAGCATAGTGTCTCCACCAAAATTCATGTTTGGGAAATCTGATGGTAAGTACTTGCTCATGACATATATAATATATAGCTTTATTTTTTTGTTGTATTTTTTTTTTGTGTTAGTTTAGAATGTTTTGAAAGGTGTTAAAGCAGGGTGGGCAAGGTTCTTCATGGACCAGGGACCAAATAGTTCGTCCACATAGACGGGCAGTCCATGTATGTGTGACGTAACAGTTACTTTTTATGACAATATTTACACTGTCACAAGAGCAAAAGTGAACAACAATAAACTCAAGCCAAAACTTGGCCCATGTCGGTGTTAGAGGTTAATATTATTCAGAAAGCAGATATTACATAAAACATGTTTTGTCATCATAAAGATAATATAATTTGTTCTCAATAATTTCCATTTGTTGTAAATCGTAATAATGACTTATATTCGAATCATACTTTCATACCAATTTTTTTTTTCAAAATTGTTAGCATCTTCATCCTTCGGGTTTAATCAACAACAACAAACCAGCAATTTATTTTCTAATCTGAGTTCAACAGCACCAAAATCTACTTCATCTACCACTGGACAATTACCAAAACCAAGATTTCCAAGTGTCGGTGATGAGGAAGATAGCGATGAGGATGAAGATGATGAAGATTACACTGATGGTACGAGCTTGTATTATGTTATGTTGAAGAATACTAAATCTCGTCCACCAAATCAGGGGTGGCCAACCCGCAGCTCTTGCACATGTCGCTGTCTTCATCGTGTTTATTTAAATCATCTTGTCAACTACATTTCATCATGTTTCGATTCAACATATGATTATTCGCTGTGCATTCTTTTATGTCGGAGATACACGAGCGCCTTCGTTAACTTTACCGTATAATCTGCTATTAATATGACACAATTGCATTCTTTGGTGTGAGTAAGCGTTTATTGCACAACAGCTGTCGTAATCGTATCAAAAAAGTCCGGCGGCAAATGCGCCGTTTACCATTTGAGGGTATCTTGAGAGAATTTGTATATTATCTGAATTAATATAATTGATGGAAGGAATGGACACAGATACCTGTAATGATAATTATACAAAGGTATAAGAAGCAGAATAATATCACTGCTTCATACCCAGATCTGCATAATCAATCTTGGTAAAAACTTCGTGTTTCATTGTTAAAATATGAATATTTGCAATATATTTGCTCAAATTATATTTGAAGGAAAAGACGAAGATTTAATTTCCTTTTTTTCCTGTCAAATGAATCAAGTACATATGGTATTTATTTTATGAAAAAACATTAGATTTTAAGAATTAGTATGACATTTCTCATTATAGATTCTTCTGAGAATTTAAGCTGTGAGGATCGTGATAATGCTTACAATGAAAGGTACAGATCCCCTCTCAATCGCCAAGAACAGCAGCACCAAAAGGAAGAAGAAAGTATGATGAATAACTCATTTTGAAATCAATCCATTTCAAGCATTATTTTAGTCAGTTTTGCACAGATATTTGTTAACTTCAAATAACTTCAAATTTTGGATTCACTCAAATGTTTATATGAATAAATTTGTTGACTTGATTGGCCATTTCTTATTTTAACTCTAGTTATATTACACTACTAATTATTTTGAACAATATTAAAATTGCCCTATATTTTTGTAACTTTAAATTCCACTTGATTGATAATGCAACTCTTTGTCATTGTGGTCCCCATAACTTGTTGTTGTTATATTCACTCCACCCAACTAGTAGGGATGCGACAAGATTTGGACTCGTGCTCGGATTCGTGGCCGAATCTCAACTTTTTCGTTCTGTTTTGCCATGAGACTGTCCAGCCTATTTTCTCTACGGTGAAATTAAACAGGGCGCCGTAAGAACAAAAAAATATCAGCGAAGAAGAAGCTTGCCTTCCATTGCCATACGTTGTTTGGTGAATGTTTACCACATACTATTTCAATCGTGTACTTGCTAATCCTCGAACAGTAAATAATTCGTAATCAGCGGTAATCCTGTCGCGCTGTTCACTTTTCATTGTCCATAAATGAGCTAGCTATTTTCGGAGTGGAGAAATAAATGTTAGAAAACGATAAAAATAGTGAAAATTGATTTTGAGACTCGCGGATGTCGGTGGCGTTACAATCGTATATATATGTACAAAAACAATCTTGCAAGTCGCATCGATTGGATGTGTATGAATTGTGAAACTATTACTCGTGGTAATTAATGTTATTCTTATTGTTATTCAATTGGTATTTATATTTGCCGCGATTAGTAGCGCGCAAAATTGAATTTTTCCTGATTTAATCCCACTCCCGATAGATTTGATAACTTCCAACTACAAGCTGATATTGATAAAACAATTCGCAACTACCGCCTGAGAGAGTGATTTTTGATTTTCTGTAATTAAATAGAATCTAGTCATTTTCCCTCTTGCTATAGCATCCTTGCATTATACGCATACGGATCCACCTGCGCAAAAGCATAGAGCAAGTAAAGGTAGTTAGTTTCCCGTAACCCCAACTGTTAGTTGAATAATTCGAATATTTTTTTTTATTTACCGATAGTAGAAAATTACCAGTAGACTGGAGACTCGATAACAACGTCTTCACTTCATAATTTTATCACAATCATGAATCTTTTTTTTGTCACCGCAATCCTTTTGGCGACCGACACCCTAGTTATTATTGGTGAACTATATTTTTAAAGCAACCTTTTTCACTAGTATTAGCCTTCACGCAACGTCGGACTTCAAAGTTTCGTTTTTTTCGTTTCTGCCTGTTATTCCAGGCAGAAGTGTTAGTACAAATCGGCGAAGATATTAAAGACAGCTATTAATTAGTGAATTCATAAGCATATTAATTTTATTCTGATGTCATCTTCTGGGTCGGATTTGATTTTCTATATCACAGTGGGTAAATTACGGTCCCCATTTCTAAGCGAACAATACCTACCGTGCTCGTGTTATTTTAGTATTAGATAATAAATAAAAACTCTGCAAATTCACCATTGCATACTGTTTCGAATTGAATCAATTTAAATGAATCGTCAATAATGGCATTTCTACGTAGTCTAAATAATATTTTCATATAATACATTATCTACATGTCCTACTTTATCTGGTTTGACGTTTCTAAATGTGAAAAAGGTGTTGGCGCGCTTTATGCAGAATTGGGAATCGTAAAGATAAGGAAAAGGATAAGAAAGAAAAAAAAACACTATGATAATAAACACATTTATTATTTCTGTCTGTTAGCAAGAGTCGTAGGTGAATTCTCACTCGTAACTCTCACTTCTAAATTGATATTAATAAATTCGATTTTGCTTTTCAAATTGCCATTATATGTACTAATGAAAATGATTGTGTCAGGAGTTTGAGCAGACAGCCCTAAATTAGCAAATAACACATTTCGCCTTTTGCGTCTCTCTTATTGAATTACAATCAACAATTACACATTCTTATTTTCTGTGGATTCGACAATCGCTATTGATGGTTTTTAAACGAATAATAGCTATTTTGTTATGATTTATTTTTGAGACACATTTATTTGATGCTGCTATAGTTGGCAATTCTTTATTATTATCCTAATTATCACGGAGATGGGCGTCTGTATCAGCGCCGACTAAAAAAGATAACATATAAGTCAATAGTAGAAATTTCGCATACAAATTTCCTTCCATACGTGGGGTTTACGACCCATATTTATCAAAATTTCCGCGACGTGACACGAGCGCGGCGGCGTCTTGCAGCAGTCGACGCGGCGGTCAATCAGAACGCATTGTTACATAACAAAATATACTTTCGACGGGGAATAGTAGGTAGGACCTGCTTAAACTAATTTAAACCAACCGCTCAGCGAATGATTGTCCCGAAAGCAATAGTATTTATGTGCACTGTTTTGAATTACATGGTCTTATATTATCTTACTGAATGTTTAATTTACGGCCAATATACGTGAACAACAGCATCACTTTCGATATTTATTTCGGAGCTATGTAAAAGTATTGGACTCTGAACTTGGACACGAGTCCAGCGCAAATACTCGGGATTCGGCCGAGCCGAACCTTTTTGGATTCGTCGCACCCCTACCAACTAGCTTATTCATCAGCAATATTGAGCATCAAAAATAGTGATGAATTTTTTATTTGGGGCATATTGTTGAATATACCGCAATTGTTTTATTATGTATTTATGTCATAACTTCCTGTCTAGCTACAGCTTATTCATCAGCAATATTGAGCATCAAAAATAGTGATGAATTTTTTATTTGGGGCAAATTATTGAATATACCGCAATTGTTTTACTATATATTTGTGTCATAACTTCCTGTCTAGCTACTGATTGTTTGTGATATGATATTACGTAATGAATTTTCTGGTGCATCATTGACGAACTTTATTTATAACAACCCGTAGGTGATAGTGATGTGATTTGTATCGGGGAGATTCTTCCATCTGAAGAACTTCAGAAAAAGGCTGAAAATCTCATGTTACCGAAACATTTTTATAATTTTCTTAAAGAAGGAGAAGAAAATGAAACTGGGGATGATTCAGAAACAGGAGATGAAAAGTCTCAACCAAAAGGTGACCTCAAAAATTATCTTTCAATTTATACCTTGATTTGAAGGAATGAGGATTGAATCAGTATTTTTAACCATATTGAAGTAATTGTATTTAAATAGTTTGTTCTTCCCAGATTAATTTTAATATATATTTCTGAATAATATTTAGGGTTAAGATTGTATCATAGTATCATGGCGAAAGTTTTTACTGATTTTTTACTGAAATTTTTACTGATTTGCATCCTGATGGATTTCTCAATATATGATTTATTACTTTTTTTTCATATACCTTCGTCCAGTCAATAAAATGATTCTGATTTATCACAGGAAAAGAAAAGTCATCAATCTTTCAAGCACTCACCACTTCTGTGTCAACTACGACTACTGATAAGTCAACATTTGGTTAGTGTTTTTCACACTTTTGTGAAATTTCAGAAATTTTTATTCTAGTTTGTATTATAGAGTTCATGTACAATGAAAATTACATTCTTCATCAAACTTTCCTATTACAGGATTCTCTGCTGGTGCAACATCATTTGGTGATTTGATTAAATCTAACACAGGTGATGGATTCGCTTTCGGTAATAAGTCAGGTGGATGGATAGGAATGCCAGAGCAAAAGCCATTGTTTGCCAGCCTGACTCAAGGTGGTGATGATGACGACGGAACACACCCAGTATGTACATTTACACTATAATATTTTAACCTGATACAGCATAATTTTTGTTATTTATTGATTGGGCTTTTCAATTATTTTTGCTTTTTCAATGAGTTTGTACCCATTTAGAGTGAAGAAAATGCTGATATTCATTTTGAACCGATAGCAAGACTCCCTGAAAAAGTTGAAATAATTACAGGAGAAGAAGATGAAGAAGAATTATATTCACAACGATGCAAATTATATAGATTTAATAAAGTAAGAGCAACAAATAAGTTCATGACACAAGGTCCGCACTTGATAAGAGACGTCTATCGGATTTTTCAATTAATTCTTTCAATATAAAATAAAATGATACTAATTTGTTTTATTATTTACATTTTTCATGGCACGAAAAGTTTTTCTTTTTTCGTGACCAAAATTTCAATACTTCACATTTTTGCAGCCAACTAATGAATGGAAAGAAAGAGGCACTGGGGAAATAAAATTGAAGAGACACAATAAAAATGGTCGTATAAGAATTGTCATGAGACGAGAGCAAATCTTTAAGGTGATTTATCTGCTGTTTATAATAATTTATTTAGGAGACATCAATTTCATACCTTCTTGTTTAGGTCTGTGCGAATCATTATATTCGACCAGGCATGACGATGGATAAAAGCAAGACCTCTGACAGAGCATGGACTTGGACGGCAATGGATTTTGCTGACAATGAAGAACCAACTATGGAGATATTTACTGTCAGATTTAAAAATACAGATCAAGCTGAGGAATTCAAAGCAAAATTTGATGAATGTCAAGTGAGTTTAGATCCGAAAAGTCTGTATATTGTCAGATTGTCAAAATTGAAATTTTCTTCTCAATAAGGATGGGCCAATTTCAATATTAGCATTTGAAAATTCTTACATCTCTTACTCAACAATTAAATTCAAAATTTAACTCATGATTTTTAAATGAATGATTACATTATATGACTTTGTGTGATATGTTTCGCTCATTGTTCAGTAAATTCTAAGTTGGATCATTAAGACAAAATTTTTTTCAGATGATGTTATTAGATGTGGATCCTATGACACCATGCAAAGCGAGTTCAATGAGAAGTAAAGAACTGTCGGACAAAGCAGAAAAAATGAAAAATGAGTTGAAATTTTTCAAGGACAAGTTTTCCGAACAAACAAATATCCAGAAAGAGAACAGTGGTAAGTTGTGAAATATTGGAATCATGCTTAGTATGAAAAACATGATTTTACACTTTCTTCGATAACCTATCCACCAAAACTTCCCATCATTAAATATCATTTAGCATATCTCCAAAGTTATTATATGCATGTAATATAATTTACATTGCCCGGGAAACACTACCTTTTGTGAGAAAGTGAGATACTCAATTTGAAATTATACACTATTTCACTTCACAGAGTCTAGCCCAACTGAATCTGGACCTTTGATGGTTGGATCCCTCACTCCACTTGTTCAACAGCACACTCAAAGTTTGAGAGAAAAGTCTGAAGATATTGTCAAGAGATCTGATGACTCAATACTAGAGTATGTTTTATAATATTTTTTTAATTTGATATTGCTTAAGTATCTGGAATTAGTTTTTCATCTTTTAAAATAAACTATTTCTGTTAGTTTGGCTTCAATAATTAAAAGAAGTTCTAATATATCAAGGATTCAAATATGAGGATTGTTCCAGATGTTTGTTTTAAGCAACACTGTAAACATTACTTTGAATTTCATTGGTAAAATTCGAACTCTTTAGCACACCACGCAAGAAAACTGAAAACTCCTTTGCATCACGAGGCAATAAATTTTCATTCCAACCTAAAGCTGATAATAATCAACAAACTCCCAGCAGACAACACACTACAAGTGCTGGTTCTGATGATCCGCAGGCTGAAACTGATATTCAATTTGAACCAATTTATCAACTACCTGATCATGTGGAAATAATTACTGGAGAAGAAGATGAACAAGTAAGTGATACAACAGAATATTATATACAAAAATGGTATTTTTAACAGCCTAATGCCCTAACTCTTTTATTTTTTTTTGTGATTGCATTTTTAAATTTTTGATTTATGATAGCATTTTTATAGTTTATTCGACTACTTTTTAGTATATTTTTCATGCAATTCAGATCCTGTTCGGAAATCGAGCAAAATTATACATGTTTCATAAGGAGGCAAAACAATGGAAAGAACGAGGTGTTGGAGACATTAAAATTTTACAACATCTTTCAAGTTTCAAAGTTCGAGTTTTAATGAGAAGAGAACAGGTAGATATTCTGAGTTTATATTCTATTATTCCTTTTGATATTCTAATTGGCGGGCAATGTAGAAAACAGATTATTATTTCAATTATTTTCCTAACACATACTTTAGGATTATAGAATCATTTTTCTGTAATATTTCATACGTTCCAAGTCGCAATCCACCAAACACTATCACCAAAACATGTTGTACTTTTGCTTGAGTTATCAGTTGTATTTAACTGATAACTTGGTTTGCATTGGTTAATTCACCTATGCTTTATATATTTAAGTGCCCAAAAACTGATGACATCACTAGGTTCACCTCTTCTTCGGTCAAATAAAAAAAGAAATACGAGATCGAATAAATATAAGAGAAGCTCTCTTGTTTTCACTGTGGCACTCAATGATAAAAATTAAAAATCTGACCTTGGCACGGAATGTGTTGAAATGCTTCCATCATTTGACAATATTTTCCTTATGATATTGATGCACTCTCTTTATTCATTTTTGCCTTGAATTCAATTTATATTTACTTATGCCCAGGTCTTGAAAGTTTGCTTGAATCATTATGTTCAACCTGAAATCAAACTTAGTTTTAAAGAACAGACGTCGGCTAAAACTTTGCTGTGGACAGCAACAGATTTTTCTGATTCTGAAAAACCGGCTGGAGAGGTAAGATAAACCTGATTGAATCGATAATTTTAACGGTTTGCTAAAGACTTTCACATTGTTTGGTTTATTTCATTGAACAAAATTGAAACATTTCATGATTATAACATCCTGATTATGCAAATTCTTTATCTGAATCTTTCATGTTTAAACACTTGTACCATGATGAGTATTATCAGGGACGGACACTTTCCATAATTTTGGGGGAGGGCGAACTTGGATCGCCTACCGAAAAACACCGCGCCGTGTATCGTCACGTAACAATAACCTGTCGATGTCATTCTCTAAGTATTAGCATGTCATTTTGCTACTCATATATCGATTACCTAGGCTGCTTTGCTCGGACACGGAACTTGCGCGTCACTGAACCAATTTCTTGAATTCTGCGAGAATTAGCCCACGGCTCTTGCTAACAAACAGAAAATAACAAATTTAAGGTCGGAACTTGCCATTGCTGTCTGCAACAAGCACCGCGATTACGCGCTCGTTAAAAGAGCCGCCTATTTAAGGGTATAATGATTTTTCTGTCGATCCATGACAGCCACCAGATTCTAAAATGTCCTTATATATTAATTTAATTGTGTGCAGCGTAACTCGCGGTTGCGACTTCTTACGCCAAAATAAAAATATTACTAAACTAAAGTACCACGGCGATATGGGGAAATAAAAATATGAAATAGGCTGCCTGATGTATTTAATTTTGAAACGTATTTTTGCAATCTTCCGAAGTCGTTATCGCCGTTACAAAAATCACGATATCTGATATAAAATCCCATATAGTACAATTTTAATTCATACAATGAAAATAATTATAAAGTATACTAGTAAATCAAAAATACAAATTCACCGCCTCAAAATCCACGCGGAACAGTCGCCACGATTACGCCACTTGTTAATTAAAAGAGCCGACTTTATCAACGAAAAATGATTTTTCACTTGTGCAAAGTAATCAATCAAAGACCGATACGGGCATATTCAAAATGTCTTGATTTATTAATTTAATTGTCTTCAATTTAAACTGCGGTTGAGTCGACAAAACAAGAGCCACTCTAAAACACGACGGCAATCCGTGGACATAAAAATGTGTGGTAAACTGCCCGTTTATATATTTTTTTGATCCATATGATAAATTTGAGATGTACTTGTCACAGTGGCTCCGCTCAATCGCAATGTTGTCACTCCGATTATTTTTAAAGATAAAACCTTAAATCCATAGAAAAATCCATAAATTTTCTGTCAATTCTCACGTAGTAAAAGTTATTCCAGTACAATAAAAGTACATAAATAAATACGAAAACTGATCCAATATACTTTAATTATTTTATATATCATCACAAACCGGGGAAAAGTCGTGTTGTCAGCTTTGTTTAATGTTAACACGAAAATTTTCGAGGTCGATTTAAAAGTAATGGATAAAAAGGCAAATCCCGCTCACAATTGACCGAGTTTCGATTTTAGTGACGAAATGTTTTTAAAGGTCAAGCAAACATAATTTGTGAAATTTTGTAATTCTCGATGCCTAGAAAAGCGTTTTTAGACTGTCGTGGGCCTCAACAAAACTAATATTGTTTACAGTTTTATTTAAAGTATTTTATATTTCCGCTTTTCGACATCGTAAATGCTTTGATCTTTGCCCGCAAATTATGCTGGGCCTTGCACGGAATCCATAACGTGAAAAGATACGTCCAGCGGTGAAAATTGTTTATAACAACTTTAGATCTAGTTAATTTTTTAGCGATAATAATTAGTTGTTGTAATGAAACACAGTTTGCCTCTTTCACTTCTCTCGCAAGTGCCAACAATAACACAATTGAAAGATTTTGACAATGAGAAAATTATATTAAATTGTACAAAAATGAATTAATTGTGCAAAACCGTGGCGCGTGATCGGCGGTGCGTTTGAAGACGGAGTATTACCCGTGTGGGCGAGCATGTTTCGCGAAAATGTGAGGTGCTCCGAAGGCGCTCTGCCGGTCCACATTATTGTAAGAAAACAGTTATAATATCGGTGACTATTAACCGTTCAATTGCGCTTGACTATCGCACTTTTAAATTTTAAATTTTTTTGCGAAATTATTGTGGGGGCGACCGCCCCCCCCCCCCCCCCCCCCCCCCCCGGGTGTCCGCCCCTGAGTATTATTGTATTCATTATTACTTTAGACGCTTCAATTTGCACTACGATTCAAAAATCCTGATACTGCGTCTGCGTTCAAAAACTTATGGAAAGAAGGTGCAGAGGCAGCAGTTGCAGAAACATTACTTGAACCTGACGAATCCGCTATCAATACTTCAACTATAAAACCCGGTGTTACCAGCCCTGGTGCTGTGGCCAATAGCCCACAAAGTCCAGTTGATCAGCCAAAGCCTACATTTAGCTTTGCAAATGTTCCAAGTCCATTTGACGCAGCTAAAAATGCTGATGAAGGACCACATAAAGTTATGGGTTTTGTGTTCGGTATGTATGTTTATGTAATATTCATTTCGTGCATGAACAAGTTCTCAAGTTTTTCAAACCAGACACAATTGTTCTGATTCTGGTGAATAATTTGCTAAATTTTCCATTTTGTTTCTTTGTATATTGTGTCGAGCGACACTATATTGTGTGTAATTCTTCTTATCCGAAACATTCAATATTGGCCTGGATTGTATTATAACTTGTCCATTTTCATTAAATCTTATTGAATAACATTTGCAAAAATATTCATTTTGTTATGCTACGCTGTCCTGTGTGGCATTACATTATGGGAAATCCCCTATATCTCATATGATCAATATTCGCCCGGGCTAGATTCATTAAACTTCACACAAAATTGTTGTAAGTCCAATCTATTATTTTGTTAAACTATTCGTTGTGATTACATATAGTAGGATGTGTGACATATTAGTATGGGTAATTCCGCCTTTTTTCAAATATTCAGTATTCGCCTGGTGTATTATTTGCATATAATATAATTTCAAACTTAATTAAAGTTCACATAATTAGTTTGATTCTAATCGACGATTTTCCTATTTAGATACACTTCCAGTAGGTTGCGTAACATTATATTCATGGGTATTCCTCTACGTCCCAGATCATGAAATTTTATCTTCATGAAAAAAAAATGACTGGTGTATATTATTTGTATATAATAAAATTTCAAACCTAATTAAAGTTCACACAATCAGTTTGATTCTAATAGACGATTTTCCTATTTAGAAACATTTCCAGTAGGTTGTGTAACATTATATTCATGGGTATTCTCCTATGTCCCAGATTATGAATTTTTTTTAGTAGAAATCTTCATGAAAAAAAAACTTGTTTTTGTGGGAATGGATGCTCTTAGTATAATTGTTTCAATTCTATCCATCATTTATTTTCAAGATATACTTTGTATATCTATATTGGGATACTCAAGTAGGGTGTGTGACATTGGTTAATGGTTAGATCAGGGATCTCAAACACGTGGCCCGCGGGCCGCGTGCGGCCCGCCAGGCACATGTTTTGAGTCGGAGACCCCTGGGTTAGATCGTGATGTGATAGATTGTTTTGAGATTGAATAATGGAAGATGTCCATTTGTGTCTGTGTGAAATAGGTTGTGTGACATTATAACATGGATCAATATTTATCATTGAAGTCCACACAATTACGTTGTTCAAAATCAAAAAGTTTCACTTATCTATTTACTTTGGGATGCTTGCGTAGGATGTGTGACATTGAATAATGATTACTTTCCCTATATCCCAGATTTAAAAAATTGCTTCTAGCGGATATATTCATAAAACAATTTCTGTGATGGAGGATGCATCACGAATCATCCCTTTTAATTTTTATCAGTGATTTCTAAGATTACCAATTACCTAAGCAGGTAATAGGTTGTGTGATATTATACTGTAGGTAATTCACATTTCAAATATTCTATTTTGCCTAGGTTGTATTATTTTATCTAGCATATTTCTCTACTGTATTGGACTTCGCACAATTGTTTTGAATAGAGTCAGCGGTTTTGCTGACAGCTGAACTACCCATTTTGAAATTACCGTATTTGCTCGTTTTGTAGCCCGGGGCCATATTTTTTTATCCAAACTCACTAACCGGGCCCTTATTCAAACCGGCCCCTCATTCAAACCGGCCCTTATTCAAGCACGGGCGCTTGTTATTTTTAAAGTAAAAATATATAAAAAAAAACATATATATATAGATAAGATCGATCGTTAAAATAACTAATATATTGTCAATTCCAGTTCTCAAGTATGATTCAAACGAGAACAACGAAAATTTTGACTTTTTCTACGCAACGCAGGTACAAATCCGCAAAAGAAGAAACGCCCAATCAATATTGAAATGACGCACTTGGGCGTCGCAACGCCCAGTTTGAGAACCACAGTGTTACGTAATCAATGCAATCTGTTATGTAATTGGACGCCTATGGCGTTATCTACCAGCGCTTAAAAAATTCAACAGCGTTGTGACAAAAGCCCTTTTTATTTCCTATTGTTCCCTACCACTGAAAAATTAGCTTTTCATCGGGCGGGGCCTCAAGCACCGGCCCCTATTCATTTTTATGTTCTGTTTACACGGGTGGCTATTCAAACGGGCCCTTAATCAAAATCGGGCGGTAAAACGAGCATATACGGTATGCATAATTGGTTTTGCGGCGGCATCAATTCCCAAAATATAATATTTCGCTTCTAATGGGAATATTTATGAAAAAAATTTAGAATAGTGGATTTAGACGAGGGTGGTTATTACTTATTACAGCATATTATATTTTCATATAAATTATTAAATACCCCGTCGTTGGGCTTCATAATTGTTTTGAGTTTTCATAACGAGCCTGCAAGACGATCTATTTTGTGATTACATACAATAGGTTGTTGTGTGACATTATATTCTCAATAACTATCTCATATACTAAATATTCAGTTTGTTTTGATTAGAAATTTCGTAAAATGAACTATTCCTTTGTAATGAATATCGATGCAAGGATCATTGTATATATTTCATATCCCACATAAGTCTCAACATCATTAATCTTCACGCAATTGTATTGATTCTTATCATATAAGCTTTAGCGTACTGTTGGTTTTGTGATATGTCACTGCTGTTTTTAAATACTATAATAAAATCTATCTGATAGAGCAATGCTGCATTTAACGTATTCCAATCTTATGAATTGTATTCTTTGAAAATGAATCACATGTTTACTATTGCAGGTAAAAGCACCCAGTCAGAATCAACTCCGACCACTGATAAGTTTAAATTTGATGTTTCAAAGATGTCTTTTAACTTAGGTTCAACAAGCACACCACAGGTATGCATATTAGCGACTTGCAACTGGTTCCTTCTCAGGGTTAATTTGTCATTTCTGTAATTATTCATTGTAATTATTTTCCAGTTTTTTTTTCTACTTGACTTATAAGGGCTTATCTTGTCTCAGCAAATTTTTGTAATTTTTGTTGCGTGCAGTTATCTGTTAATAAAATAAAAGATTCTAATATCAATATAAATCACAAAATGCTGTCTCAACAAATCCTCATTTGCTTTTTAGATGGGTAGTATCAGTACACCATCAGCGAATTTCTTTACCCCACCTCAGAATATGGCAGAGCCTAGAACTGGAGCAGTCACGAAGTCTTTATTCTCTGAAGATTCTGCATCGGATAGTACAGTTAATAGCAATTTATATGTAACATCGAGTGATACTTTCAGTCAAGCTGATCAGTCAACTGTGATATCCAATAATGAGAGTCCAACGGTACAATCAGTAGCCAAAGAATCTTCTCCTGCTGAACAACAGACATTCACAACAACAGGAAAAGGTTATAAACCTTCTCCATTAGCGGCAAATTTTTCGAACCAAGGAACAGTTTCAGTTCAGGTAAATATGTTTTTAATAGTGCAAAAATTTTCAGATACTTTGCATACACCTGCAACGTTCAAGATAATAAAATGGCAAACATTTGACGTTTCAAAGTAAAATTAGATGATTTTCATTGGGTATTGTGTTATAGATAGCGAGAGCTATTCTAGTTTGACAAGAACAGAAATTTTTCTGGTTTTGCACATTTGCTATTCAAGATATTATTTCCTGAGTGTGGCACCGGGATCAGGGTTTAAGCTTTAACTTGTACGTTAAATTGTATATAAATCCGCTCGCTAATGGTGTCAACTTTAAGATGATACCTTATTTGTTGTTTTTTTTGTTCCGTATTGTTCAGAACTCAAGATATGCTGTAACAAATGGTGTATATAATCTTTTTTTATTACCCTCCATAAAAGCATCATTATCGATTTAGTGCCTATGTTGGAAAAACATTACTTGGAATGAATCTTGTCAATTTCCTATTAATTTGTCAAAAATACATCTAATTATCTCATGGTCAAAATTGTGAACTTGATTTATAAATTCATTTATTAAATCTTTGGCACATAGTTAACAAAGAAAGATGACCAGACAGCTTGCACTCAATGGTGAACTTATGCGTAAAACAAGCGCTCATATCCCCAATCCTCATATCCTTTTCAATTAGAATATTTCTAACTGTACTTTTCCATGTCAGATTAAAATATTTGTGTGGCTTACGTTACCGGTAGTTCATTATATGATTGTCTTGTTTCAGAGCGGAAACAAGTTCCAGTTCAAGCCTGTTGTTGGTGAAATTGCACAAAAAACTACAGACATCTCAGGTATTATTTATTAACAAAGAATTACATTTCCATTGGTGTGAAGCCCTGCTCTATTGAATGGCTGATATATGTCCGTTATTACCTTAGTAAATATGCTTTTCATGTTATTGATATAGGGGAAAAGAAGGCTGAAAACGATAATGATGATGATGATGATGATGATGTAATTTTTGTTTCGGAAGCAAAACCAACTGAAGATCAACGTAGAAGAGCTGAAAAATTGATGCTTCCTTCAACTTTCTTTTTATATGAAAATAAAACCCTTCCATTAGGTTAGTATTTTTTGAGTGATTCACCCTCATTCTGTGATCGATTTTAAGAGTATAATAGGGTATTTTCAGCAACTTAATTTTTTAGTTCCTTTCCCTTACTTTGTCTTTCACTTTTTTGGTATCCTGTTCTAGTTATGTTTTCTCATATTCATATTATTTTCTCTATTTTTCAATTGCTTTCGAAGGATTTAATGAGAAGTTGGAAGAAGAAAAAGAAGATGGAATTCTTCAATTCATTGAAGATCGAGATAGCGGAAAGTTATCAGCTAAAACTGGGCAAAAAACAAATAAAGCAGAATTGTCCGAATTGGGTAAGATATTAACTATATGACATACTTACATACCGTTTGAATTTGATCATGAGGGTTTTATTAATTTTTTGGCATTACAGCGTACTCTCACGAGGCTCCCGCGAGCAATGTTCCTGTGTTATTTGTAATTATGGGTGGAAACAATCTTTAACTGTTTGTTCATATTCTAGATTCCATCGAGAAGAATACTGAGCCAAGACCTGCTGTTGTCACTTTAAATGGTGGTCAAACCAATGCTGATGTTGGACAGCAATCCATATTTGCTGGCGCAATGTTAAATCTTGCAAGCAGTGGCGGATTTGCTTCATTCGCCGATATGGCTTCTGGTGTTCAGAATGTTGGATTTAAAAAAGATCCTTCTGTAAGTAAAAGTATTTATGAAATTGGGGTACTGTGATATTTTATTGATGCTAAGCAATTGCATTGTCTGATTAGGGTAGAAAAGGGATGAAAAATGGCATTTTCTTAACTGTGTGAACTGAAAACAAAAAGCCAGATAAATGATAATCGCTCATCGCTAATCAATATATGGACACTTCTTTGTCTATACAACTAATGTTTTCTCCTGCCTTTGTATCTTTGTGTTACATCGTATTGCAGTCTTTTGTTAACTTTTTGGCAAGCAGCTACATTTTCTTTTATAGTTTCAGTTCCCTGGCGCAGGGCAAGTAATGTTTCAGCAGCAAAACACAAATGAAAATTTTGATCAGGATCCAAGTTCTTATGCACCTGACACACAATTCAAACCTGTATTGGATAAACTTCCACCCTTGGTTGAAAAGAATACTGGCGAAGAAGGAGAAGAGGTGTGCTAGAACTAGTCCTTTTATGTTCTATTATAATTTGAAGTTAACATTAATTTGTAAGATGTTGTAAGTATCGTATTTCTCGTTTAGTTCAGGACTGGGCAATTATTTTTGTTATGGGCCACATTACAATTTTGAAATGCAGTGGCGAGCCGGACGTAAGTTAAGTTATGGCCGTTTTATTACACATTTAAATAACTAGCTCAACGATATCTCGCTGTCATAGCGCATGACTCAAAGAGCGACTTAGCCTGAATTTCACGCTATCATTACTCTGTTGAACAGTGATCGATTGCTGATCATTTTCACAAGTTTGACTGCAGATAGCAAGCGGACTATGTGGTCTATAAACATCTCTACTAAAACATTTTTATTTGAAGCATTTTTATTACAAAAACGAAAATTTACTGTTGAAGTATATTTTATATGTGAATAAAAAAAATGAGTGTCTATATCTAGAAATCTTACCGCATTGCTAGGGGTCGAATTCGGCCTGCCCAAGTTGCCCAGACCTGATTTAGTTTCTCCATCAATTACTTAGTTGCAATTGCAAAAATGAGTTTGCTTAGTTCTTGATTGATCGTTATTGAGTAATTACCTCCAAAAATTAGTTTACACCCATTTTTAACGTACTTAACTCTTCTGCTTTAACAAATTCAATCCTTTGCCATGTGCTTATTTTTCTGTTGAACATAACCCAATTACATACCTTAAAATCCCTCAGTCATGATTTACAAACCCGCGTTTCTAATCTGATATCGTGTGATATTGTATGACTGTCAATTTCATAACATTTTTTATTGTTTGCCAGATTTTGTTCAAAGAAAGATGTCGATTATATCGGTACGATAAAGATACGAATCAATGGAAAGAGAGAGGAGTTGGTGACATAAAAATTCTATTCAATGATATACAGAATATGTATCGTGTGGTTATGAGAAGAGAACAGGTGATAAAAATAATTGTTTAATTGGAACGTTGTTCTAGACGATTTTTTATGAACTAGTGCTTTTAATTTTGTTTGTTTTTTTCAAGGTTTTAAAAGTTTGTGCCAATCATGTAATCAATGAAAAAACAGAACCAAAGTATCATTTGGGATCTTCAAAAACTTGTTCATATTTTACCTTGGATTATACAGGTACTGGAATATGATGCCTACTGTTTGATATTTTAGGAAATGTAATATTACGCTTTGTTATATCATGTTTCATATTTTTCCTGGTAACATTGAGTTTATTGGAATGGCTCAGTCAAACCTTGCCTCAAATGGTAAATTACTGTATTCTCAAATAGTTTACTGTATGAAAACTGACTGAACTTTGTTTTAATGAAATCTCTTTCTAAACAATATTCTAGTATCATTAGATAGGAAATCAATAACATAAAAGCAATCGGGATTCCAAATAATATGATCCAAAATGTAGTACAATGGAAAGTAATTTTTGTATGCAAACTATTTCTTATAATTTTATAGCTGGACCGACACCTACACCGGAGCAATTTGCGTTCAGATTCAAAACAGAAGATATGTGTAAAACCTACATGAACAAAATTGAAGAAGTTAAAGAACTACAACAAAACGAATCTTCTTGTTAGCTTATATTTCCTAGTGCTATCAAGTATTTTCTCATGGCATTGTTTCATACCTGGTGCTTTTCCTTTCATGCGAAATGTGACTATACTTTGCCTAATATCACATTGATTACATGTTCACGACAATTTTTGCCTAATTTTACTACCAATCAAAGTAGTCAAGTGGAAGGATTATTATAATGATCGTGGATGAAAAGATGCTCATCACCACTTAATTGTACATTATGGTCTACGTTTCGATATTTTCTAGTGTTTATTTTGAAAATACAATCACCTGTACCAACGTTTTGTTGTTTTTTCGGGTTAATATCTGGGTTTGAAAAGGATGTTTGTCCATTATTCCCTAAGATCGAGCATGTATGTACGTGTTTATTTTCGGGGTGCTCATTGTTATAACGTTTACACTTGAGTTTAGACTCAAGTACAGGTCTTACCTGTTTAATGCATGTAATATATAGGGCTGTTGTAAGTTTTATATTCTGGTTAGGACGCTTCATACCCAAAAGGTATTTAAAATGATATTTGTTTGGCAGAAGCAGAGTTGCGCACTGAATATTTCTGTAATTAGACAAAAATAATGAAATGGAGAATATTTGAATTTTGAAAAAGCTAATAGCCGATCGTGTGATAGAAATGCCATGCTTGGAAATCCGTATTGATTGAAAATGCAAGTTTGCAAGCGGAGGAAATTTGATAATATGCTACCGTAAATATGACAAAATGGTTTCTACAGAGGCTTACGAGGTTTATGCGACTTCGTTATATTCGATATCCGACGATCTGGGAAAATAATCCAGCTTCTCACCTTGGCTGCAAATTAAGATTCCGAACGCACTGGTAAGCTATCGGCTTTACTGTTAACAATCTCGTCCCGACGAGTGGATATGCTTCTAGCATTCCTATGTGAAGAACTGTTCGTGCGACTGTTCTGAAATTCTTAACGTTGTTACTGTGTTGTCTCGTCAAAACGGCTTGACAGAACATTTATTTTACGAAGTTTATTGTGTTGCTCGTTTGAACTCGTAAATATTGATTGTGTTCGTTGTCATTCATCGAGGTATATAAAAAATCGTCATAGATATGCTTAATAATGGTAAGATGGTTAATGATTAATTTATTTTTATGGTGATTTATATTTCGCAAACACGAGTTGTTACGATTTCAAATCCTGGTTAGCCCATGTCAACAACAATGGCTGATCTCGTTTTGCTCCTTACATTGTATGTGCTTTATCGTACAAATGGGCACGACTCGAGTTCAGTTATTGAATTGGTGAGGACAATATCCTTTGGTGGGTAATACCCTTTTATGAAAGTTTTGTCCTTGTAATCAAATCATGAATCATAAAATGCCAGCGACGGATTTTATATTTCAATGGGTACATTAACTATGTAAGTTCTACTATGCAGCATTTTAAATAACTCTGTATGAGGAAATGACGGTAAATATTTGATGAAATGCGATATCAACGTGGGTGGGTATTTAAATATTAAGTGATATACTGCAGTGCTGCTGTTGAATAAACTGATGGATGGATGATGGATAGATTTATTTATTTGTTATGATGATTTATTTATTTGAGTGGCAGGATATAGTTTATGTTTAATGACATACTATTCTATTATTTTCACAAGCAGAATTTCCACATAATTTAAGTGTAAATTATGATTTTAATGTGAATCCCAACATGGTGGATCATCTCCTACCTTTAATTGTGAATAAAAATTCGTATCCTGAAATATGAAAAATATGTACTAGAATAGACATTTACAAAATATGGTGGATCATCGCCCACCTTTAATTGAAAATGAAAAATCGTATGCTAATTGGAAGAAGGCAATACAGCTATGGTCGATCGCAACGAATGTTCCAAAGTCAAAACAAGCTATCGTAGTCGCTCTGAGTTTGCAAGATAAAGCAAGAGAAGCAGCACTAGAAATTGAAGAATCAGTTCTCCGTAGTGAGAATGGAATCAGAGAATTATTGAAAAAACTTGACATTACTTATAAAGAGTTAAAAGCTGATTGTTTTTCTGCATTTCTTGATTTTGATTCTTGTGTGAGATGGCCTTCAGAAGCAATGGCATCGTATATTACCAGGTTCGAAAATCGCCATTCGAGACTCAAAATGTTTCAAACATCTATTTCTGATGATATGTTGGGCTTGAAACTTCTTGCTGGTGCGAGATTGTCTACCAGTGAATCGCAGAAAATATTGAATAACGATAATACGGAATGGAGTATGTCAACAATATCGCGAATCCTACGCGATATATCTGGTTCGGCAAATGTATTTGATTTTACGATACCAAACTCATGGTCTTCAAGTTTTCTCACGCATGTTGATACAGGTAATTTGTTTGTATGTTATTTGACTTCATATCTACTTATTTGTTATGCTGGCAGCTATCGCAATATGGTATAAAAATCGAAATTACAAAATTTTACATATGTCAGTATGTATATATATATATTCTTATATATATGAAGTTATGTTTTGGCATGAACTAAACATGTCTGAGTTTATCATTTTGGTATTCGAACCAAATATCTGGATATACCAATTATTCAAATATTTCTGTATTGATTCAGAGAAATGCATGTATGTCATAGTAAAATGAGAATATTTCATAAAACTTGCTATACATTCACCTTTGAATATGTTTAGGATACTATTTTATAAAAATGAAGCAACTACAGCAAATGGTTTTGAAGAACCTGTTACAACATATACTGGTACAGCTGTTTCGTTGAGGGCTAAGAAAATGATTTTGATTAACATGCCAAATATTTTTTTTATGAAATTATATACATATTGTTGTATTAGATATACAATTTATTACAAGATATGTACAGTTTGCAGTAGATTTGATATGCGAAAAAATAAATGCTATTCTGCAAATTAAATTGATGCAACAATATGTCAATCGTGAGGTATTTTAAATAAATAATCTCTGAAACAAAATTCATCTAAGAAATATTTCCATGTACCGGTAATTTATTAATATTTAGGTTAATGTCAATTTTAATCTCCAACAGTTTCTCTTACAAGTTAGCATGTCCTTTTACAGGGGTTATGTCCACATAATGACTAAATTTTTTTTTCAATTTTTATACATGAATTTCCAATTCTTGGATTTCATTGATTTTGAAAATTATCTTTCTAAGATTGAGCTGTTCACATGAGTCTTATTGATTGGTTGAAGATATCGGGTATTAGGTTTGTCATATTTAAATCACTCCTTAATCATTCGATTACCAGTTGTTGGCAGATTGTGAAATAGTTTCCCAGTCAATTGTTTTATATGAACAGGTTTGAATGGGGATTACTGACCAGCAATTGAATTACATATGTTGGCAAGCATGTTCTTAATACTTCATATGAAGCACCAACCATTTAGTAATTGCTTCTGCGTTTCATTGTCTATTTGGCTAGTTTCTCGAGCGAGCGAGCAATATGATTTAAATTAAAATGCATACTGAAGGTGTTTATGCAACAACATCAAAATATTTGTGTATCTATTTTTCATATCTTTCAGATTCCAGAATTTTTCAGAGCAAGCCAAAACCTGAAGTAGCTCAGTCTTCAAAATTCACATTTTCAAAACCGGTGTTTGGAAATGTTGGATTGTCATCAACAGGTAATATTAAAGTACAGTGGTAATTTAACAAAAAAAAGGAAAAATTTTATGAACGCGGGCGATCCAACCTTTATTATTTGAAATCACTATTATAAGCTATAAATATTCATTTCTGCATTTAATTTTATTTAATCTTTTCTTCATTTTTAATATGCACTTAGACTGAATGCTTTTGCAGAATTGGCTAAGACTTATTCAGTTTTACTTACAGATTAACAGAAATTGTATAGAGATTTAATTCACCCAGCTGTAGTCATATATTATAATAGTTATCAATTGTTTCATATACATGGAATGGGAATGAAAGCAGCAACTGACCAGCACTCTTTTTGTTAGCAAGGCATCAAGTCATTGCTTTAATAATTGAGTGTCTATTCGGCTAGTTTCTTAAGTGAACATCACACTTTGATTTAAAATGCATACTGAGGGTTTATTTAATAGCATCAAAATATTGAAAATGCATTTCTAAAATCTTTCAGACTCAAAAAATGTTCAGAGCAAGCAAAAACCTGCAGTGGCAGAGGCTTCGAAATTAACATTTTCATATTCAGTATCAGAAAATGATGGTTTTTCTTCAACAGGTAATATAAAACTGCAGCTGTGAATGCTTGCAGAAATTGAGAAATATTCCGGAGTTTTTGGGTGAACTAACCATTATTATTTGAAATGGATATTATAATAATATATATATATCAATATGCATTTATTCTGTTTCACTCAAAATTGTTTCATTTTTTGAATGCACTCAGAATTATTCAGAGATTTTATTAAATTGTCAAAGAGTTATTCAGTTTATACTTATACTAGGTGGTTTCACTGACTATTTGGACCGAAATTATATTGTGAACTTCAACATAAATAGAAAACCTCGCAAAGCAGCTTAAACATAAAATTTAGACTGAAAATTTTCAAACCTCATTTTCTATTTACAACCAGTAAGAAATAAAAAGAATGATGATGTTATATTTGTGTCGAAAGTAAAACCAACGGAAGATCAACGCAAAAGAGCTGAAAAATTGCTTCTTCCATCTACATTTTATCTATATGAAAATAGAATATCATGTGGTAAGTTTAGACCTTTTGTTTATACATTTGATTGTTTTTTTCAGGAAAATCCTTAGAAAATTTCATTTTTTAGTCTATGCCAGTAACTCATTTGAAGTTAACAAAACTGTGAACCACGATAACTTTAATTATTGTTTGCTTTTCAGATTTTGATGAAAGGTTAGAAGAAGAAAAAGAAGACAAAATACTGAAATATATTCATGATCGAGATAATGGAAAATTAAATTATAAACTACAACATTATCCTGCGTGTGGTATATTTTATATAATTTCTATCGAAGTGGTGTTACTAAATTATGACACGATAAACTTATGAAACTAATTTTTGCAAATTTTCTACATTTACAACATCTCTTGCTGTTTATTTGTCTATTGATTAATTACAGAATATGTCCAAGCTTATTTTAAATTTAAGGATATCAGCGCGCTTCACTTCGAAGTTAAGTGATTTCTTAAAATGCAGCATCTGTTGTTGATACCTTGTCAAAATTTTCAAACATAACAATATTACTTCATTCAATATTTATCGGTTGGCTTTAAATGTTCCTAGAATGCTTCTTTTTTATTGGTCATTTGTACCAACCAGTTTTAGTAGTCTAACTATAGTCATCTTCTATAAACAATAAATCCTGTATTATATGCTTGCACTGTTCCTCAGCTGATTCATCAATGACGACTACTGTTACTTCTATTACATCATCAACCCACACTTCTACAAGTGCTACATCATCATCTTTCAAATTGTCAACTATATCTACAACTACCAGTCAGACAATGTCACAAAGGCAAGCTTTTTAAGTATTTTCCGATGATAGTTTTTTGTGATAAATATTTATGTGGTGTTTATCAACTTTACTTCATTGTTCTAGTGTTTCCCAAACACAAGCCTATTCTAAAAAAGGAATGTTGATTGCTGATAAGAAAGCTGGAGCGTGGAATGGTTTTGATTGTTATGCTCAGAATGGACCTACTGACTCAAAATGCCTATGCTGTGGTACACCTAATCTGTCAGCACCCAAAGTTGGTGAGATTTCAAAGTTGATCGATACTATGTCTTATGCTGAAATATAAATAAACATTATGAATGGGTAAATTTTTGTTTGAATGGTTCAATCGGGAATCACACTATAGTATATTTGACCCTTCATTTGAAAGCTCTTGCCTGTTACATTTCGTTACCAAATCTTGCAGGGAAGTTCATACGTGCAGATGAGATGTCATTTGAATTAATTGTTTTAAGAAAAAGTTGTATTGAAATATTTCTCAATCTAACTATTTTTTCGTAATTGTTTATTATTTATACTGAACCGTATATTAATATTTTCAGAGGAAGCAAAAGGAAAGCCTTTTGCATCAAAATTTGGCACTTCTTCAAAACCAACTGGATTTGAGGTGAGATTTTGTTGTTTCATTTTATATATGGATATAATAATATCTAACTATCACATTTACAATGGATATCTAATGATTTTATATCTTTTCCATGAATATAAGCATAATTAAAACAATTTTTGGCTTTTTAAACATTAGACTTTGTTTCTAATTTTTGTTTCAAAAATTAACATAGATTGTAAAATATAACAAATCGTCATGACGATCTGTAAAATAATTATGATAGAGAGAGAATCTAGTACAAAATTTGATTACCGGTAATAAGAAAAAATAGGTCCAGGAATTGAGCCGCAAAATGAATTGAAAAGTCACAGAATGATTCAATCACGATTAAGCGTTGCCCAGAAGACATCAAATGTCCACACCAATAATTGATTCACCACTTCATACCTCTGCAAAAGTATCACTTTTGTATGTCATTACTTGAACTCCTTATTTTTTTGTCAGAATGTATTTGATTGATGTGTAATATTGTCAATTTATCGCTCGTATTTGATTGATGTGTGATATTGTCAATCTATCGCTTGTGTAAGCACAATCGACTTTTTATAACCAGGTGCAAAGAATTAGGTATATATATATTTTTTTTTTCGAAAGTTATGCCAATCAAGTGTGGAACCACATTGATTTTTGATAGTCATTTAAAAAACAAAGCAAGTAGCGTTTATTTAAATTTACGTTATAGTTAAGCAAGGCCTTGTCTTGAGGTCTCTAGCTTTTAGTTTTTAAAAACTATACCAGATTGTATACAAACTACATACTTATAAGCTTATATGTATTTTCTACTTTAGACCGAGCTATATGTATGGTGTTGTTCAGTATAATCATATGTAGGGCTGTCCAAAATCGAATAATTTTTTGATTCGAATCGAATATTTTCGCCGAATCGAACCGAATAATCGAATAATATTGCGCAATCCTAAATCTGTCTCTATTATACAATAAACGACTGCCCTGCAATGGTGGGGTTACGTATGTGCAGTTACCTCTGACTTACTGCTGTTATTTTGCAATACCATGTTTTCAGATTCTTGGAAGGAGATCAAACACTTGTATGAACTGGTCAAAAAAATTGGAGGACTCCAAAATTAGGGTTTCGAAAACTGTTGAGTGATAAGAGTAAAAATTGCGCTTTCAATTCTAATGAATTAAGTTTTATTGGGCATGCAAAGCCTGTAGGTGTTATTCTAATCCTATTATCATTATTCTTATGTTTTTTTGTGTAATTTCCAGCAAAATGATAACAATCATTAATATAGATAAAACTGTTGCTCAAATTCAAAATTGCGTTTAACAAATTCGAAGCTAGTTTGATGACAATATTATTTGGTTCAATGGCCATCAAAATGATGCAAGTGTGCAATTATTTTTTATCTTGATAAATAGATGGATAATACAGTATTGCCATCATAAGAAATTATAAATTCCATTGGAAGAAGGTATTGCCATCATAAATATCCCACAATACCTGTTTCAGCTTTGAGTTGCCTGTACCATGTTCCTATGATAACTAACTCATTAGCTTCAAATCGATTCTATTTATAGAACTTTCGTTTTCTAATAATAATAAATTGCCTTTTTCTCCTTGTTCTCTCTCAAAAACGTCATGACCGATTATAACTTTAAGTTATGATGACCATGTATGAAATGGCTTATCACGTGCCACATGGCATTAGGAATGACATGTTTATCTCAAAATGAAGGCGAAAGGAATATCGGGAAACCAATTATGACAGGAGCGAGAGTGGTCTGTGCTTGCTTGATGAAAAACGTCCTGCAAAGTTGGTTTCAAGCCTTTTCCCCTTTATGTACCTAATATTAGCGATTCGAAAATTAGCCGAAAAAACAATTCGAATAATTTGCGCTTCGATTCGATTTCGAATATTTGGACCGCTTGGACAGCCCTAATCATATGTCAACACCAAACTCATATTACTATTAGGTATTTTGTAACGTAATAATGGATGATTGCATGGTAAATTGGATGAAGGCGTTCATGTATTTTTGACGTAAAAGAAGAATGAGCAATGAATCATAATATGTTTAATTGAAACATGACGAATCGTAGTTTGCAATTAATTTTTTTCCTTAAAATAACCAAGGCGAAACAAGCCACATAAAACCCCATGAAACCAAACAGAGCATGAATTCACCAGAGCTTGAGTTTTAAATTTTGATTGATTTATTTCAGGAAAAGAAAGAAATAGTTTTGAAATCGGTTGTTGAGCAACTTGCTAAATTAACGGTAAGTTTTTTAGATGACAAATTTGAGGATTAAACGGTAAAAATAACTGCTTCATTTGCCTGCTTATATTGTTTGAACCAATTGACGTTTCTAATTTGCATCTTAATCAATAATTCATAGTTCGATTGGCATTCAATTTTATGGATATGAATTGATTTCTAGTTATTATTTATTCCTTCTTTATGAAGAATTAAGACCCTTTCCAAAGACTCATTTAAGTTTATTTGTATGTACTGAGTAACTTTAAGAAAACGCAAATGCTATTTATATAATTTTGACTGTTTCATTTATATTACATCAATGTTTGTATTTGGAATGTTTATCAACTGGCTAATTAGTCTCATGCCTAAGCCTGGATCAGAAAAGAAGTCCTAAATTATCATATTACCATAACATTTAGACACTTGTCTCTGAACTACAAGAGAGAAAAGAAGTTGCAGAATCGGTAAAATATCAAAAACAGCAAGAGGCCATGCAACTACAGTTGCAGCAATTGCGAGATCAAGTCAATCAGTCACAATTTGGTACACCAATTGCACTAGGAAGAGTTGTTCACTTGACTCAATCGGAAGGACAGATGCCAGGCAGTCCAATGCACCAGGTTTGTCATTTCATATAAAACAACATCAGAGCAGGGGTCGCAATAATGTTTAGCTGAAAGTAGAAGATAACAATACTTTGGATAGTCCTTGGATCCAAAGATTCTTTGCGTTTGTTGATAAATTTTACCAGCAAGCTGTACTTGGACAAATCAGTATCCCAATGCAATTTGGGAGTCCATACTACAATATGCTTTCATACCAGCAAGGATATCCATCTCAAAGCCCCGCCCAGCCCAGATGTACTTTTTCCTATCATCTTCGTGCAATTTTAAATTTCAAATAAACATTTGTCCAAATTATCAAAATACAAACACATAAACTTGACTTCTGATACATTTGTTGGTTGTATTGGTCATATTAAAACATGTCATTGTTCCCGATTATTTTCCACTTCGATTTATCAATATTACTTGACGTTTTAGTAGTATCTTTTACAAAACAAAATTATTACATTTTCAGTCCAATGGTGGAAGCTCAGCTTACCAACCAGCATCACCTGAGTTGCAACGTCGACTTGAAATTAATTATCCTGAACACATCAATTTTCCTGATAATAAGGATCAGGCTACTGCATCTAACAGTTAGTATTCATAATTAATATAGGACCTGGCATCAAATTCTTTCAATTTGCATCATATACTTGAGGCAGAGGATTAAAATGTAAAAAAATTTCAAATTAATTTTACAAAAATGTGTTACCTAGTCCAGCATACAATTTGACATGATTTTCTTATAGCATGGAATTATAAATTCCAAACTCCAGAAGAAATGGATAAAGCAAATGATAAACTAAAAGCAGATGAAGAGGCAGAAGATGCAAAAACATCTCAGAACGATACTGGTCCTCACTTTGAACCAATTGTGAGATTGTCTGAAGTTGAGGTCAGTGATTTATCATGTTCATTTTCTAGATCCAAACTTTTTAAATATCATTTGTTACTTGTTGTTCATACATATCTAAGTCACAAATTATCGTTCTCAAAAAGGGATTGTGATTCAAAATCCTTTTCATATTATCTCAATTTTTGCATTTTTTATTCTTTTGTATTTGTGAATGTAAATGGGCCAGGCTTTCATCAGATAAATTTTATTCCATAGATACGTACTGGTGAGGAGGATGAGGAAGCTGTTTTCTCTGAACTTGCAAAATTGTATAGATGGACTCAAGGGCAATGGAAGGAAAGAGGTGTTGGTGTGATAAAGATATTAAAACATAAAGAAACTGGAAAATACCGAATTCTCATGAGACGGGATCAGGTAGCAGCTGAAAATAATCATCGAATGCATTTACAACATTCTAGCTATGTTGTTTATCAGAAATGTTCCTAATCTGAACCGAGTTTCAGTATTTAGTTAAACTTTAGCACTAGACTCTCTCAGCGCTTAAGGGTTGATACTTGCAGTGTTATGTGAAAATGAAATTTTGATGGATAATTGCTACTATTGCGGAATCAATTGTTCGTTCCTTCATTGTTGTTGTAATTGTTATTAAAATAATGAGAAACTATGAAAAGTGGTGCATTTAAAGAATCATAATTTAGGAAGCGGAATTAATGAACACCATGAACCTATTGTTCCACAAGTTGTTTTTGTCAATTATCACTAAAATTTATAATTCACTATAAATTCAGTATTTCCATAACATATTGGATATTTTTGTAACTTAAAATTGTAATCAAATTTTTGTTATTATGTTTCACCCAGTTTGTATTTGCAAATCTTTTGTAGCTATCTTTGTATACTCTCAAAAGGCCGCTTTTTCTGGCGTTCTACTACACATTTTTATTAATGAATTTCATATTCGATTCCCAGATTCTAAAAATATGCTGTAATCACTTAATTGGAAAAGATTTGGAATTACAACCGATGCCTAAATCAGATAAAGCATGGATATGGCATGCATTGGATTTTTCTGAGGAGGAAAGCAAACAGGAAGGATTTGCTATTCGATTCAAAACTTCTGAACTTGCGAATTCATTCAAAGAAAAGTTTACAGAAGGAAAGGAAATTAATATTAAACTCAGTGGAGGTATAGTACCTTTTGATTATTCTTGTAAATGAAGTTCTACCTGATTCAGGCATGAGAATTTTTGTTTGAGGTGTTTTACATGCTCGTCTTTGAGCAAGTTGACATTTATTTGTCTGTTGATTACTTTAGTTTTGCTTGCCTATGTTTGATTTTGATATTAGGTACACCTGTACGCGCGTCTACAACTGCAAAAGTAACTTCACACAAACCTGCATTTACTGTGGATACTTTGCCTAAAACTACAAACTCGATAGTAGCACGAGGAGGTATATGTATTCAATATTAACTCAATATCCACATTCAGTACCATCTTTAAATACTAAACCTCCAATGGTAGTATCTGCAAGTCAGTCTACATCTGATAGTACAATTGAGACACCAAATACTCAAGCGAATGGGGATTTTTTTCAATTTATTATTTGTTTCAATGTGTCCATCGAAAACGTTATAATTTATTTATAGGTGATAATATATAGATGCCAGAATTCTCTACCGTTTATAAGGAATCTTTTTTATGGAATGTAGATGAAGCTTGAGCCAGGAAATCTTATTTCTAGGAAGCTCATCATCTTCTCTCGTCCTGACGCCTATTCAATTTGATAAGAACGGTGGTCGAATCCTACTGTGTTTCTTAATGTCACTGATATTAACCTATTATTGCTAACTTTACTTCAGAGAGCAAATCTTCTACCAGTGATGTAACAATCCCAAAATTTTCTTTTGCTTTTCCAAAACCATCAGCAGCAGCTGCTAACCTTGAAGCAAAAATCGCGGGTTTGCCACAGAAGGTGGTTTTCACTGCTGGTAAGTTTGAATTTTTAGTTGGTTAATGCAGCAAATTCAAAAACTAGTAGCAAGAAATTATTTAATAGTCTGTACAGGAAGGCAATCCGGAGAATGGCAATATATTTGATATATTTAAGTTGATCCCTTTGTAGGTAGTGTTGGTGTTTTTTAGTGCTATTTCTGAAATATCATAGAATTACACGTTTTTTTTTGGATTCTTGTTGAGAATTTAGATATGATTTGCACTACCATGAATTCTATGCATTGACAATATAATTTTATATTTCATTACATTATAAATCAAGAAACAAAACCAGAAAGCTCAAATAATGATGATGATCAAAATGAAGACATACATAATGAATCTGGAGATAGTCCTCATTTTGAACCAATTGTTAAACTTCCTGATAAAGTCGAAACTGAAACAGGAGAAGAAGATGAACAGGTATTTACTACATTGCTACCTAACATGATTAATTTGTTTTATTAACAATGAAGACGGGAGAAAAGGTCATCTCGGAGTGTGTGAACCAAGATTGTGGACACTGGAACGTAGTATGTGTACCAGGGCACTACCAAGTTCTCCCGTAGTATTTGTACTTGAAATTATGTCCTAACCCTAACCTGGTACGCATACTACGTTCCGGTGTCCGCCATCTTGGTTCACATACTTCGGGAATACTGAAGAAAAATGTTCCTCGAGAATAATATTGTTGCCCAAATAGTTTAAAAAATTTTATATTACTGAGGAACCCTGGCGATTTATTCCCCAATCTCATAGAACCAATCGCTTGTGATCGAAACGTTTAGTAAAAATTAGTTGGTGATATTACTACAAGGTTTATACGAGACTTACTCTCTCCGTTAAACGAATTTGTAGCAAGATCGAAACTCCTTTAGAGTCTCCTGCTTTTTCATATTTAAATTGTACTGACTGTTGTCTCGCTTTTAGGTTCTTTATTGTCATCGTGTGAAGTTATATAAATACTTTGACAAACAATGGAAAGAAAAAGGAGTTGGTGAAATGAAAATTTTACACAATGCTGTCACAAAGAAAAGTAGAATTGTAATGCGAAGAGACCAGGTAAGCAAAGTTGTAATGATATTGGCGTGTCTTGATGTTTATAGATACAACATTAAAATTCTGTGATTTTAACAAACATGAATCCTGACATTGGGATTAGGAAAAGGGCTATTCCCAGTTGGAATAGTTTAAAAATAACTCAAAAATGTTCTGCCAATGATTTAATGCACGCTAAAATTGTTTTGCGGGCCGCACGGAATGTGCCTTTCTTTAATGAGATGGAACTGTTCCATTTTTCAATCAATGTTTCGGTAATCATTGGTATCTGTGCACAACCATATTTGTATCTTGGCTCATCAGTGGAAATTCGTGGCATTTTTATAAGTAATCTACCCACTTGGAAGGGATTGCAAATTTTAAAATTATTATACTCTTATGAAATACAGTATATGATTTGGTATATTGATTTTGCAATGATAATATCAGGAAAAGTTTAGATATTATTAGAAACTTTTCAAATGACACAATTTTTTACATAATTAATACTCACTCTACAGGTTTTGAAGCTATGTGCAAACCATTACATTATTCCTGAAATGAAGTTCTCACATCTTGGAAATTCTGATAAAGCATGGACTTGGACTGCTGTTGATCATTCTGATCCAGATGTTGAACCTAAACCAGAAGTACTCGCTGTTCGATTTAAAACTGCTGAAGAGGCTTCTGACTTTGTGAAGGTTGTTAATCAAGCAAAAGATATATTGCAAGGAAAAGGTAGTTATTTTTTCCATGTAGCTTGGGTGCTTTGTTTGAAATTTATTTTGAATGACATTAGAACAAATGAGTTTGTAAATTGATGGTATTTCCAACTCTTTTCTGAGTTGGTTTCATAAATAAATGTTTCCACCAGGGGCATTTCTGGCATATTTACTCATGCCGAGCCAACAATGAAAAACAATCATAAACAGATAACCCAATTGATATGCTCAACTGAATATTATAAAAGTTCTTGTTACATA